TCAGCTTGAAATTATTTCATGTGTTACGCCATCCCCAGCCAAAATTCTGGACTTCCCAAAATTCCCGCTCACTTATTTTAGCAATCTGTATATCTTATAGCATGGCACTAATTTACAAGAAATGGGCTGTTAGCATTGCCATTCCATGGTAGGGAATGCAGATCAGGTCTGATAATGAAGTAACGTCATGAGTCACCTCATTATTATTCTCTGGGGATGGCATTGTTGCCCTGGAACCTTCTCAGCCAGTAATTTGCTGTCCTCTTTATAAAATTCCACTTTTATTCTGAGTCCTTCCTGAGTACTTGTGTTCCCAATAAAACTACTTACTCAATAAATTTATCAACCTTGGTGGGCAAGTATTATTTTGTATTTGTTGCTAGATTTCTGTATCGGATACACTTGCCCACCAAATACTCCTCTCACCGGCCTCCAGCTCCAAATTTCAGAATTCTGTAACCTGTGTTCTTCACACAATACTTTGGATCACCTTTAACTGTAATCTTCACCAAACTCCATTGCTTCCCAGTACCAGTGATCCATTTTAAGATCCTTGCCCTAGTCTTCAAATCCTTCCACGGTTTTGCCACAGTTTACCTATTCAATCTTTTGTAGCTTGGACTCCAGCCCATTACATAATTACTCTTCCAACTCTGGTCTGCTGTTTGGTCCATTCATTTCACCATTGGTCGATGAGCCTTCAGCCACCATGTCTGCAATTGTTTGCCTATCAATTTGGAGATATCTTGTATTTATCCAAAGCTCTTATTTTTCGGCCACTAGCTCCCTACTTCCGATTTCTCTCTCCCAGCTTAGGCTCCCACTGCACCTTTTTAAAGTTCTTTGAGACATTCTCTCTTCGTGAAAAACACTGTACAAATGCAAATTGTTGCTTATCCATACAACAACAACAAGATTTCATTTATAGAGCGCCTTTCATGTCGGGAGGACGTCCCAAGGCGCTGTACTCTTGGGACTCCCAAGGCGCCGTACTCAATATGGACAACTGTATTTATCAAGAGATTTGAAATGTTCTTGTATGTAAAATGCACTTTATAAATGCAAGTTTTTGCTCATGTGTAAAAAAAATAAAGCTTTGATTCAAGCCAACACCAAAGGAAATTGCTCAACATGTAAGAATCTGCGCACTTCATGTCTGTGCTCTGATGGACCATTTCATACAGTAACTGCATTAAGAATGGTGACTGACACCAGGACCATGAAATGGGCTTTTGAAAGTGAGCTGACTGATTCTGTGCTAGTTATATTGTGTTAACTCACTGTAGAAAGAAAGGTGACTTATTGGCTGTAATGGGAAAGGAAATTGGGCGGTTAATACAAAACCTGTGCAATTTACCAGAAAGCCCCCCAGACCTCCACTTGGTGAAACCTATTTTCTCTGGGAATTATTGACAACTAGTGAAGCTGTGAATTACAATGGGTTCTTCCTGTTCTGTGGGATCACAGGTTTTTGTCTCTTGAATCACATGTCGTGCCTTCACAAAGACTGCCTAATTTCCTTCAATTGATCCATCTGTTGTCTCTTTTCAATGCAAAAGAGGCTGCAGACCACCTAGTTGCTGTATATTACCGTACCTCCCCCCCTTGTGCCTTTTGTTTTTTTGCTGTGAAAAGACACATGTTTGGGAAAGCCAAATGATTTTAAAAGTCTTTGCTGCTTGCTGGGCATTTCACCTCCTGAGGCAATTCTCTGCTTTAAAATAAACATCAGTTGGTGCACATTGGCACGCATTATCCCACATATGCAACAAGCATTAGAGATGTGATTTACCTTGTATCCTGTATGTGCTGGACATAAATGAAATGTCACTGTGATGCTTATCCAGCACCAGATTTGAATGAACTGTTACCCATTATCAGATGTGTGCTGCATAGATTCAGTAATTGAAACAGGTCATGTAGCAGATGTGGGGGAATAACTTATTTTTGCCCAGGTGTGCGCAGAGTTAAAACTCAAGACATACAGTATTGTACGAAAACGTCACAATACCATGAAATAATAATAAATTATATTATATTTTAATTATAATAATTAAACAAATAATAAAACATTTTAAAAAATAATGATTTGGTCACTTCAATCCACGGCTGTTTGTGGGACGCTGCTGCGCGCAATTGGCTGCCGCGTTCGCCCACAAATATACAGTCAATTCACTTTACAGTGTTCTGTGAAGCGCTTTGGGATGTCCTCCCGACGTGAAAAGCGCTATATCAAATGCAAGGATTATTATTATTATTATTCTGTGAAGCGCTTTGAGACGTCTCGATAACGTGATAAGGCGCAGTATCAAATGCAAGGATTATTATTATTATTAAAGGGAGTGAATCCTTTTTTACTTTTACTCACTGAATGTGTACAGAAACAGACATTGCGACAGATACATGTTGCACAGAATAAGATGTAGACTATATGTTTTGTCACTTTTTGAGTTTTATATAATTAAAAGTTAATTAGAGGAGGAGTACTTTACCTTTTGACTTTAGCTCAGTACAAAGTATTCCATCACAACTATAATATCTTCTACCAACTTGGAGATGCTTCCTAGCGGTGAATTATTGCTTCTCCTACGCATCCTCTAAACTGGGGTGTGGTATTATTTCCAGCTTGACACTTTCAGGTGAATTGCTCGTGTTCGGCCGGAAAATACAGTCACTACACTTTACGGTGTGTCCTGTGAAGCGCTTTGAGACGTCTCGAAGACGCGATAAGGCGCTGTGTCAAATGCCGGGATTGATATATTTGTGAAGCAACGATGCTGTACACTCGGCTGCATTGGAACCACAGAAAGTCGCAGATTCAATCTCCACACCCCGGGCGCTACAGCCGATGAAATTATTATTATTATTATTAATAATCATTCGTAAAAAATGTGAATCCACCCAATCTGGCCACAACCTCACACCGGGCACTAACCGCTCACCTGTCAAACTGCTCGGGGGTGACCCGCTCGGTGGCCGCTGGCGGAGCTGAACTCCTGTCTTTCTCTTTTAATCTAAATGTTGTTTTTCGCCCACAAACACCCGGTCAGTTCACTTGACAGTACATTCCGTGAAGCGCTTTGAGACGTCGAGAAGACGCAATAAGGCGCTGTGTCAAATGCAAAGATTATTATTATTATATAATGTACAATATAACTGACAGCCTGACTGACACTAACGCACTGACTAACAGTCACTGACTAACAACAACAACAACAAGATTCCATTTATTGAGCGCCTTTCACGTCGGGAGGACGTCCCAAAGCGCTGTACAGTTGGGTCAGGACCCGAGCATTGGGGGGAAATGGTCAGGGTGAGGGGGGGGGAGGGAGGGAGCGAGGAGGGGGGAATGGTCAGGATGAGGGGAGGGGAGGGAGCGAGGAGGGGGGGAATGGTCAGGGTGAGGGGAGGGGAGGGAGGGAGCAAGGAGGGGGGAAATGGTCAGGGTGAGGGGAGGGAAGGGAGGGAGCGAGGAGGGGGGAAATGGTCAGGGTGAGGGGAGGGAAGGGAGGGAGCGAGGAGGGGGTAGAGAGTCGAGAGAGGAGCTGAAGGCTGAAGGTCAAAGAGAAAGGTCTTGAGACCGGCCTTGAAGGAGGAAAGGGAGGAAGCGGCGAAGGCACTGGGGATGGAGTTCCAGAGCCTCGGGGCTGAGAGGCTGAAGGCCACCGATGGTCGGGCGGTTGGGGCGGGGGATGTGGAGCAGACCGGAGCCAGAGGAACGGAGGGTACGGGCAGGTGAGTGGGGGATAGTAGGTCAGAGAGGTAGGAGGGAGCGAGGCCGTGAATGGCCTTGTAGGTGAGGATGAGGATCTTGATTCGATCCTCTGGGGGATGGGGAGCAGTGGGGGGGAGCGAGGGCGAGGGTGGGCGAGGGTGAGGGTGTGGGTGAGGGTGGGTGAGGGCGAGGGCGAGGGTGGGTGAGGGCGAGGGTGGGTGAGGGCGAGGGTGAGGGTGGGTGAGGGCGGGTGAGGGTGGGTGAGGGTGAGGGTGGGTGAGGGTGGGTGAGGGCGAGGGCGGGTGAGGGCGAGGGTGAGGGTGGGTGAGGGCGAGGGTGGGTGAGGGTGAGGGTGGGTGAGGGTGAGTGTGGGTGAGGGCGAGGGGGTGGGTGAGGGTGAGGTGAGGTGAGGGTGGGTGAGGGTGAGGGTGGGTGAGGGCGAGGGGGTGGGGGTGAGGGTGAGGGTGGGGGGTGAGGGTGGGGGGTGAGGGTGGTGGGTGAGTGGGTGAGGGTGGGTGAGGGTGAGGGTGAGTGAGGGTGAGGGGGAGGGTGAGGGAGGGTGAGGGGCGAGGGTGGGTGAGGGTGAGGGTGGGTGAGGGTGGGCGAGGGTGAGGGTGGGGGTGAGGGTGAGGTGTGAGGGTGAGGGTGGGGGTGAGGGGGTGGGTGTGGGTGGGGGAGGGGGTGAGGGTGGGGGTGAGGGGGTGAGGGTGGGGGGTGAGGGTGGGGGTGGGGGGGGGGGTGAGGGTGAGGGTGGGGGTGAGGGTGGGGGGGGGGGTGAGGGGTGGGGGGGGGGGTGAGGGTGGGGGAGGGGGGTGGGGGTGAGGGTGGGGGTGAGGGTGGGGGGGTGGGGGGGTGAGGGTGGGGGGAGGGGGGGGGGTGAGGGTGAGGGTGGGGGTGAGGGTGGGGGAGGGGGTGAGGGTGGGGGGGGTGAGGGGGGGGTGGGGGTGAGGGTGGTGGGGTGAGGGTGGGGGTGAGGGTGTGGGGTGGGCGGGTGAGGGTGGGGGTGAGGGTGAGGGTGGGGGAGGGGGTGAGGGTGGGGGAGGGGGAGGGGGTGGGGGTGGGGGAGGGGGTGATGTGGGCGCGGTGTCTGGTGCGGGACAGTACACGAGCTGCAGAGTTCTGAATAACACTCACTCACTGACTATCACTCACTGACTGACTCACTATCACTGACTGACATTGACTGACTAACACTGAGCGGCGCCGCCGCTCGCGCTCGAAACGGCCGTCTGTTTTACGACAGTCCGGGGCCGGGGGGCGGGGCGGGGGGCGGGGACTGCCGGCTTCCGTGTTGCCCTGACAACCCCGCGTGTCAGCCACACATGAGCGCGAATGGAGACTCCGCAGCGACAGCGGGGAGGTGAGGGGGACACACACACACCCACACACAGGGACACACACACACACAAACACAGTGCCAGGGCTGGGCCTGCACTCTCTCTCTCAGGGAGAGGCAGAGGGAGAGCCCTGGGCCCAGACCCGGACCCGGCTGTGAGCGCTGGGAGCCATCAGGCCTGCAGTGAGGGGCTGCACCTGAGGCCTGGCCTGGGGTTGAGGGCCCACAGTGCGGTGGAGACGGGTGGGGACCAGACCAGGGCCAGACCAGGGCCAGACCAGGGCCAGAGAGCTGACATTGGCCTTTTTTTTGCACTCCATAGAATTCCTGGACATTTCGCCCACGAAATACACAGTCACTACACGTTGCAGCATATCCTGTGAAAAGCGCTCGACGACGTGATACGGCGCTGTATCAAATGCGAGGATTGTTATTACTATTACTATTATAAGAAGAATAGCTGATTGTCTACTTTTTCCCATCTCGCTTTGACGTGGGCCTCCCTCCACGTCACCGCTCCACTTGATAGTTCCACGTGGGATTATTATAGGAATTGTGGGTGAAAAAAAACAGTATCCCCTTCGTTTCATGGCAAAGTGCAGTGGTGGCCATCCCGATTGGTCAACCACACGACTATTGGTCAACCACAACATAAAACTGGAAACAAAACATTGATTTGAAACACACTCACCTAGACTAGTGCCGCGTGTTCGGAGAGCGGCCTCTTGACTCCCCCGTGGGCTACATCCGGTTTGCGGATCGTGGGTTGGCCACCGCTGGCATAGTGTGTGCAGCCACTAATAGGATATGCTACTTCTCAGTTTTAAGTTCTTTTTAATTGTGGACAAAACCAAGAACCACAATACATTGTCCTGTAGAGTAGTAAGATGGAGGGTGGCCGAGGGTAGGGGGAGTGGCAGGGTGGCCAAAGGCACGGTCTTGAAGGAGGCAAGGGAGGGGGTGAGGTCAGGTGAAGGGATTCCAGGATGGATTTCCAGAGGGTAGGGACAGAAAAGCTGAAGGCCTGACCGGTAATGGTGGTTCGTGCAGGGTGGGGGACATGGAATAGACCATTGTCCGCTGAACGGAGGGAGTGGACAGGTTGGTATGATGTTAATAGGTCGCAGGAGTACGGAGGAACAAGATCATGGAGGGCTTTAAAAGCGAGGACGAGTGATTTTAAACTCGATCCTCAGGGATGGGGAGCTAGTGGAGCCGGGCGAAGGTGGGGCTGATCGGTTCACGGAGCTCGGTATGGGAGAGAACGAGCTGCACAGTTCTGAATAACCTGCAGCCTGTGGAGGGAAGAGTTGGGAAGTCCGGTGAGCAGGCAGTTTACACATACAGGGAAAGGTACACAAACTCATCAAATGTTTGAGTATAGTTCACTTAGGAATCTGTATTGGCACTGAGTAATTGGACATTATTGAGAACAAAGTGTATTGGTATATTACTGGTGCAAAAAGCACACACTTGTTGTTACCGGTTTGTATTCTGATTTGGCATAACATGGATTCATAAATGGTTAAAGTTCCACTTGAAAGTTCTGAAACTAAAAAAAAAATCGGTTACTCGATCCACAGGACACTGCTGTGCGCAATTGGCTGCTGAGTTTCACCCACAAAATATACAGTCAATTCACTTTACAGTTCATTCTGTGAAGCACTTTGAGACGTCTCAACGATCTGATAAGGCGCTATATCAAATGCAAGGATTATTATTATTAAAATGCGGTTAGAATCATACATTATTATATAATGCTATTTTAAAATATGTATTTTAAATAAACTGTATTTACCACAGAGAACTATGGAAATATGGAGTTCCAGGCAGTATTGATGGCAGCGGGTGGAGGGTCTCGAATGATGGACCTAACTTCTAGTATCCCCAAACCTCTACTACCAGTTGGTAACAAACCACTGATATGGTATCCTCTGAACCTCATGGAAAGACTTGGGTTCGAAGGTAGGTACAGTACTGAATATCTCAAAGGAATAAATACAATGAATACTTATCTCAATGTCATCAATGATGTTACGTTTTTTCTATTTATGTTATCTCAGCCCCAGAAATAGCCTTGCTGTTTCAGTTTCTTTCAGAAATACTGAGTGTGAATAGGTTGACTTCTACACAGTATTATCCTGAAGTAATCCTGTAAATGGATGAAAAGGGGGTACATGACAAGGTAGACTGTTCACACTCACAGTTTTATGTTTTACATCAGGATCTTGCAAGCCAGAAGTTCATGATGACACAGACTTCTAACTGAAGTCCTCCTTTTCACAAAAATTAACATTGTTGGGAGAAGGGGGAACCTAAATTACACTAGATTGAGCTAACCACTCCATTCTTCTGAACACGCTTAGTTTAGCTCTATGCTGTAGAGAATTTCCTGTTAATGACTAATAAATCAAGTTGATTATTTAGGACAGTATTCTAGTGAATGTTTTTATATTTGCCATTTTTGTGGTGTCTTCACTTGTGTTAGTTTTTCCAGAAGTTGTTGGAACGTATAGGGCTAGCCTTCCATTTGAGCCGCATGCTGTTCAGATGCACTCGTCTCCATGACAGCTACAGTACTTGCAATACAGATTTTGTCCAGAGTTGCATTTTTGGGCGGTCAAAATGACCCTGACTGCAAAATAATTGAGCGTTAGGTTAGGTCTGGTGGCAAGTCCATTCCCTTAGCAAAACTTACAGGGAAAGGTTGTCACTTGAACGTCATAAACCGCATCAAATGCCTTTGATCTGGACTTCGAACAGGATGAAACCACAGAATCGCTTTAATGAACTAGAAATCTTTTTAAAGAGGTGGCTTTACTTTACAAAATAATAATCAGGATGTTTGCAATATTGACATGCTTGTTTACTGCAAATCCAGTGGGGATATGGATATCTTTATCAGGACAACCACCATTTGAAACACCCAAGTTCAGAGTTTCTCAAACTGTTTAGTTTTGGGACTATGAAGAAGCCAAAATATCATGCCATGATTATCCTCTGTGTGTGTGTGTACAGTATGTGTGCTGAGAGATAGTTATCTGTTTCATATTTGTGTTGGGGTGTATCCATTTAACTTTTGAATCTGACTTGATTTAATATGACTCCACTTTACATGAGAACTTAGTTCCTGTGCCTTGTGATGAAAATAGAAGCAAAGATTGGATGAAACGGATATTTGGTCTGAAATTCTGCCTGATCTCAGTCTCTAAAACAATTTTGTCTTAAAATTTAGCATTATTGGGACGTATGGAAACCAATTAAGGCTGAATTTAAATTTTTTCCACCAATTCTGTGCAATCTTAATTTTTCTAAAATAGCTGGCAGTGATTACAAGATTGTAATCTGATCAAGGGGTCCAGATGATCTCATAAATTATAAGTGTAAAACATGAGCAGTTTTTGTAATGATCTTCTAAACTTCACGATTAGATTTTAGGGTTGAACTTACTCCCTATCATCAAACGATTTATAATACTGTGTATCCATTTTAAATGTTATATTGAGATTTTATTCAGTTTAAGGGAGTATAGACATTAGGACGGGTGAGCCTCCTTCAGTAGGGAACACCAGCACTTCACTTCGAAAGCAGTATTGTCAAGTAAGGGTTCAACTGAAGTATTTATAGCATCTGTCTACAGTTGAAGCAGACTCCGATGTTGAGGCTTTCTCTCCTCTCTTCAGTTGTAAAAACTACATCTCTTTGACCATGAAACGATCCAGTATAAATTCAGGTTTACTTAGACCTGGTGACCTCCGTCTTGTGATCTTATTCTCCTTATTTGGAAACTGATGCATTCATTACTTATCTTCTTATTTTTGTGTTGAATAATTGAGCTTCGTGCTCTGAGGCATTCCACCGAATTACTTGGCTCTTAGTTGGAGCATTATTTCTTCGTCCAGATCTGAATTGTACAGAAGCGTGTAATGTTGGTGATATAGGCATGATTTTCCCTTCTTAAATTTTTACTCTCAACTGCCAGAGGGGAGGGGAGATAATTGAAGAGTTGGCACTGTGTTGGTCTCATGCTGATTTGGGAGTGTTTTTCAGAAGCCTTGGGAGTAAGTCAGACGCTTTGAGTTGTGTAGCCAAGGGGAAGGGAGCACAAAGTTGTAATTTGTAGAGCTCAGGTGACATCTATAAATCAATCAACCAATCATTCTTATAGTGTATGTGTTTATGTAAACACCAAACTACCCACCTGTAAGATATATCAAGAAATAATCCACAAGGCATTCTCTTCCCATTAGCCATATTTTGAATGGGAAGGACTAAGAGGGCTTTTATTTTATTTTCCAGAAGTAATAGTGGTCACAACAAAAGAAGTGCAAAAGCTAATACAATCTATTGACACGAAAATGAAGCTGGATATTGTGTGCATTTCTGAGGATACAGATATGGGAACTGCAGACTCCTTGCGATACATTCACGAAAAAATTAAGGTATCCAATATTCTGTGATACTGCTCATTTTAACAAGAATTCACGATTCCCACCTCATTCTCGCATCCCAAGGGAATATTGGAAAATTGATCACTATGTATAATTATTTATGTGTGAAAAGGGAACTAAACATTCCACTATCTTCCAATAATAAAAAATTAAATTAGGACTATGTTTATTATGTTAATTTCCTAAAATAATTTTTTTAATGTTATTGTATTACGAAGAGGTGTTTGATTTTTAACTTCAGGTCTTATTTCTTTAAACAAATAACGAATGGTGCCATGTTTAACAAAACATTTCCAATTAAAACTGCTGCATTAGTTTGCTCCTAAATCTGTCACATGTTAAGCTTTAAAGTACCATAACAAGAATGGTCAAAGATAAATGATATTGGTTAGGTTTAATGTTATTAAAACCAGTGGGAGGGTTTAACAGCTTAAACAATGAATAATAATAATAGCCCAAGAACTTTAAAATTACATTTAGAAACTTGTTATTTTGACATTGGTTGCAATACAAATCTGATATAGATTGCAGCCAATGCACCTATTGTGGTTAATTCTTGAAACCATCCCACATGTTAGGTACTGTGTCTCAGCATTTGTTGTCAGGAAACATTTGAAAGTAATAGTATATAAAATGGGAATGCCAACAGGCACAGGAAATGATCCAGTTGTCATGGGTTGGATTCAGGAGGGTATAAGATTTTGAAATAGCTTAGGCTTGGGACTTAAAAGGATCTCAAAGGTAAACCTTTCCCAAGTTTAAATCCCATGTAAGAAAATCAAGTTTTGTCCATAACAAAAAAAATTGTATGTTTTTTAAACCATTTGATATATCTTGAAATTGGAATTTCAAGGTATTTATTACTCAGGAGTACAACGCTGTTAACTTTTCCATCATCTAGTTTGGATGTTGTTCTGACTACATAATATAGTGGTTGGGTAAGGATATTTTATTCACTGTGGGTTAATGGCTGCATGTATAGAAACAAATAATGGAAATTAGGTGCTAAACCAATTATGAGATACTGTTTGTGTCAGGCATTGACTTTATAATAATAATAATAATAAGCGCCTTATCATGTCTTCGAGGCATCTCAAAGTGCTTCACAGAATATACTGTAAAGTGAATTGACTGTATATTTTGTGGGCAAAACAAGGCAGCCAATTGTGCACAGCAGCGTCCCACAAACAGTCGTGAATTGAAGTGACCAATTTATTATTATTATTTTTTGAAGGCATTAATACCCCCGGAAAAGCGATCTACCAATCGACTAACAACCGGGTTCCTATTTACTGCTACGTAAACAAGAGGTGTGTGGAGTAAGGAAACTTAGCCAACATTTCGCCCTGCCGGAAACTGAACCCAGGTCCTCTCGCTTGCGAGGCGAGTGCTCTAACCACTGAGCTACAGGATTCCACATAGGGTATGAACAACAAACAGCAATCACAAATTACTTTCACACAGGCGCCTTTCAGACCGGGAGGACGTCCCAAGGTGCTGGACAGTCAGGAATTTGGACCCGAGCTGGGGGTATGCAATGGATACCACAGCACTCTTGAATTAGTTTTGGCAAAAGTAAAGATTCAAGGGAAATTGAATAGGCAGAGATAATTGTTAATCCAAATCAATAAGATGTATTTTGGTTGCTCATCCTTATTACTGATGCCCAAACTATCTATTGTGTAGGTGGAGTGTTTTTCTTGGAAGAACGACCTTCTGAGCTTGTGCTAAAATGTTGAATTGGGAATTGTCACGTGAAAAGTTAGTGTTTCTTTTCACAGACAGATGTGTTGGTGGTCAGCTGTGACCTCATCACAGACGCTGCGTTGCATGAGGTGATCGACCTGTTCCGGGCACACGACGCAACAATGGCAATGTTAATGCAGAGGGCGCACGAGTTCACAGAACCTGTACCAGGACAGAAAGGGAAAAGTAAACCAGGTAAGACATTCACGTTAAAAAGATCTGGCAACTAAATACCATATCTTGAAGTAGTTCTTCATCGGAAATTGTGACCATTTCTGATGCTGGTGTACAGACTCTATTAATCTCTTTCGGGGCTGTGTTATAAGTGTACCATACAGAGCATGTGGGTTTTTTTTTGAGTGAGGAGCCATAAGCAACTTGTGTTTTATCAGTGACTGAGCACAGACTTTTCTATTAAACAGCACTTGTTGTATTGTACTATATCAAAGAGGGTTAGTGTTATGTAGAGGGGGTGCTTCCTGCACTTGGCGGGCGTGTGTGTGATGTACAGAAAGTGATGTAAGCGTCAACCTGACAACCTACAGGTGGTCCATTTTTTCATGCTTTGTTATATTGCAGCCTCGGATAATACACCCTGTGCAATGACTGGGTTGCCTTATATCTCATAGTTGGTCATAATGTAGTCTTTGTTCACAGCTCTTCAGAGATTAAGCTATTTTGATATATACTGAGGGAACAGATACTGTGTGATGTAGTATCAGTGATTTTATATATATATACATTTGTGTGAAATATGGGATTTCGAAAAATTCCTGACGATGACAAAACATGTGGTTCTTAGAATTTATCTTCCACATGTGTGATATAAATTGAAAACTGTAAAGGGGGAAATTTGTTCAAATGCTATATATTTAAAAGTGCTGGTCAGAGGAGCAGACTTTATTTTTATAGAATTCCCCTGTATAACTACATCATGAATGCAGCAGGACTAGATTTAGGCGTTATTTCATGGGAAACTATGTATATAAAAATGGCTGTTTTGAAACTTATCTCCAAACAGTTGTTTTAAAGCATAATACATCACTAATGTATCATTCATGAAGATGGTGAGATTCAGATGAATCTAGTTTCTGTTCAAATGAGTCTTGATTGACCTGGTTAAAATGACAAAACTATTTATTGTGGTTTATGCAGCTGAACAAAGGGATTTTATCGGAGTTGATGACACGGGCAAGCGTCTACTGTTCATGGCCAATGAAGCTGATTTGGATGACGAACTTGTCATTAGGAAGTCCATTTTGCAGAAGTGAGTCAATTTCAGAACTTTCTCCATATTCTTTCTTTGTTTCCTCCAACAATATAGGGTCCCAATAAATAACTAGGAGCTTAAAAGCATCAACAAGGCCTACAGCACAAATGGAAGCGAGCGAGTGTTATTGATGGGCCAAGAATACTTTCTGCCTGAAGTTGTCAGCCTGGCTAAGTCGGTAGCACTCATGGATTAGAAGAATGTCAGTAGGTTGGTTGATGCTGACCCTCTGCTAGTCCTCCTTGCTCTGTATTATTGAGAACAGATACTCTCTCGGGAGGTTGTGTTTGCCTGTTGTTCTCCTCAATGCCGTTATCCCTCAGACACAGTAACAGATACACCAATACTCCAGGAACAGAGGTACAGATTACTGTACTGAGCAATAACATTGGTTAATTAATATCTTCTGCCTGGCAGCTTCAGTACTGTGACAGTTCAGCACTTTCAAGCAAATATTTCTGGCTCCTCTACCATTGCCAGCCTAAATATAGATAACATTGCTGCCATAAATCCATTCAGAACCATCCAAATTGTTGCATGTTGCTTTTTAAACCAAAGTCATATAATAATAATAATTGTCTACTATGGTGTTTTAAGGAGTTTTGGTATTTATGATACAATAGCATTAGACAGTTGTAATTTTATACTACTTATCCTAAATTGTCAACATTAAAGAACAGGATGCTCTTTAATGCCTGAAGTTGTCAGCCTGGCTAAGTCGATAGCACTCATAATTTTATTCTCAGCCCCTCAAAGGGATTTTTATTGTAATTACTCCCAGTATTATGTGAGCATAATACAGTATGCTTGCATAATATAAGCGGTTTACATTCATATTGTGATTAGTAAAATGGGTGGAACTGTACCATATTATCGTAGATAGGCCAGTTAGTGCACACAAAGATTGATAATAACCCTGTGCCTTGCTTGCTCATGTCTTATGCTTCAAGAACATTTTTCTTTAGCTGTCATCGCCTGTTTAGATTACGGTGTGCAAGTTAGAGTGCCCTAAATACTTCTCAAACTCCAGGACAGCAATAAATCCTTGTTTTAAAAAGGTAAAAAAAACAGCTGGGAATAAAATTAAGACTGCACATGCACATGATTGCTTGTCCAGCCCCAAGCCCCCACCTCCCAAGGAAGCAACTAGCCTCAGAAATGTGAAGGATCAAAGTGTGCTCTTAACCCTTTCATCTGCTAAAATTCTTTCTTTCTGTAACAGTATGTGTGAAAACTGGTCCCAATGTCTTCGGTGCACGTGACATGTTGAGGATGTATGTAACTTCAATTTCAATTGATCTTAGTTCTTGAATACTCACTAAAATAGTAAATCCTAGAGAAAAGCACAAGACAGTTGGGTTGTCGTTTTAAAGATATTACTCCATTTTCTTAGCTCCCAATTTTAATTCACCACTTTAGATTCTGAGAATGGTATAAATAAATGATTAGCTTCCATGTCACTGGCAAGTAATAGATACGGAAGACTGGCGCCCAGGTACGCTTTGTTAACCTTTATTTAATATAAAGGCATCTTCGATCAGTATCTCATGTAGAAGGCACAGGCCAAAATTGGAAAGTTGTCCTGTTGGAGTTATGGGCATTGTCTAGTACTTACTGTGACATTGCATAGTTTTTAGTTTTAAGATTGATTTTATATAAACTGTAGGGAATAATTGAAATGTCAATTATATGCTGCTGTGATAAAGGACTAACTCGATTGAGCAAACTAATAATAAATGAAGAGATTTGATTGTACAGCCACCCACTTGCCATAACGTTTTGCATTTTCTCATTATGTTTGAAACATGGGCTCAAGTTGGGCCAGCCAGCAAGAGAAAATAATCTTCCCGCTTAGAGCAGGAGTGATTTATTGGCACGTGGTTACAGTCATGAGATCACTACCACTAGAAGGCATGGAAGTAGCTATTCGTATGTCATAATAATCTTCAGACAATTCAACTGGTGATTGTTCAAATCTTTATTATAAAACATGCAATACCAGCCAGATATAGTTACAGCTGGTATGAAGCTACTGTTGCATAATGCCTTATTTCTATAATTCTTAAGATTACTAAGATTATATTCAACTGTGCCTACGGTTACCTCCCCCAGGCTCGGCGTTGTGCTCTGCCACTGTCAATCAATCGCTCTGGGATGATACCCTGTGCAAGGGGCACTATATAAATCAAGTTGTTGTTGTTTTTAGCATCTTTGTTCACACTTTTTTTTATTTGTGTCACAAAATGTCCAGGCAATATTTAAAAGTAAACATTTTTAAAAGATTTTGGTCTCACGTCGACCCTGGTCAGAAAAACATAATCTTGCTTTCAGGGGGTGTATAAGAGACCTCATTGATTTTGTTTGTCCTGGCTGAGAAAACCTAATTACGTCGAACGCATGGATAAGAGAGCCATTGATCATGTTTGTTCTGGCCAAGCCTTTGTGAGGGATAAGAGAGCAGATTGGCAGCACATATAAACAGTTTGTTTCCTCTATTACCCTTTTTATCTCTGGAATCGATTGAGGTGAACTTTCCTCTGTGTGTGGTGTTGTGTGTGTGGTCAACATAGCTTCATATGAATGGGCTGGAAACACAGGTTTAATGTATTCATTTTTTCATTTCATTTACAGGACTAGTGGCAGTGAGGACGACTATAGATGGTAGATGAAATATTATGTGGATCATCTAAATATATAGTTCCTGTAGGAAACAAAAGTGCAGATCATAAAACCTGATACAATTTAGGGAGTAGATTTTATGATGCAGTCATTGTTTACTTCTTGGCTGAATTGTGGATGAAGTATATTTTTAAAGAATAGCTTCCTTCTATTTAATCTTTTTTTGATTTTTGTCTTTCAGGTGTTTCCTCTAGTTTATTTTTTAAATTTCTTTGACTCAATAGTGATTAACAAAAAACTGCTTCCTGTGAATCATTGATCTTTAAAGGAAGTTACAAAGGTTGAGTTTGGCAGTCTATGTGAGGTAGTTAATTAGAATATTGTCTTTCCACCTAGGGAAACTGGGATTGAATCCAACTAAGACTGACAGTGTAAACTTCCCTTGGCTGCTAACTAAAGGTCTACATTAAAATGGGTTTGGGCAGGCTTAAAGCAATTCATTATAGGTACAAGCACACATGAAACTGCAGTTTGGAAACAAAATAATAATATTTTGGCAAGCTTATTCACTAAGGGAACATGGGTCAGACTTAACTGAGGTGGAATACTGTGCTTTAGAGTCCAGGCTTGCACATGAAGAATGGCCACTTGAATGAAGAACCAGAAGGTGTTTTGGTTGTGAAACCATAACCCAGCAAGAGTTGGCACCTTCAAAACAGCAGAGAAAGGGGAAAACTAATTTCTAACTAATTAAGGGAAAGAGGTTTTGCTTCAGAGACTTTGTATGGAATTTAAATTCATTTGAGAATGGTCTATTTGAGAATTCTATAGGGTTTGCAGTTATATACTGATCGTAGAATTTCTTGATCATTTTTAATTCCTTCTCAGACCTTTAGTAATGATGTAACATTATTAATCTTTCATTTTAACAACCAGCACATATCCACAACATGAGTGTGCTTGCTCTCGCTGCGGGCAGTGAATGCTTGTTTTGGCACAAGAACAGACCCCAAAGAAAAGAAAATCACCCCATAAAAATCACACTGTATATTGTGAAACACAAACACATTCCCTGATGTGTTTCCTCTTTCTCAGGATGTAGATGATGGTGATAAGCTTCATTAGTCCAATTTAGCATGTCACCTCAATGCTTCGAAATCACTATTCATCAGGTATTCATCATTCTACATGGATAAAACCAAATATATTATTCAGTAAAATCCTTTGATTCATCTGATCCTATTGTAAGTCTGTCTGGAATGATTACTGTAAAACTTCCTCCTGTTCCTTGGTCCTGATGTGTGGTCTGAGACTCGGCACTACTGTTCTGGTTATAATAGATAAGCAATCCTGACTCCACTTTCTTTTTCTAAGAAACATTTGGAAAGTGTTCGACTTTAGTTAGATCCCGCGAGTGCGTAGTCAGGCGTAGAACAACACATTGGCTGCAGGATTATTGGCCAGATAGTAATATATCAACAATTGTGAAAGACATCCTGAACTGGGAAGTAAAGATCAAGACGTTTATCAAATTTATCTGAATCTTGAGATCTACTTTTTTTGAAACACAGAAATAACTTATTTTATGGAAATTGCCATGAACCAGATCCCTTATAACGGCCCCTGTAACTGTTTTGTAATGATGACTCAATCTGAGGTCCTGTGTGGGGTAACTTTCATTTTGCTGTGAATTGGCGTTAAAATAAGTACAGTATTTCTGCAGGTGAAGAATCTAGAACTATCCAGTGAAGAATGAGGATGTCAAGTGAGGTTAGGATTGTGTGTGGGTGTAATACCTTACCCATGACTGTATAGCCAGCTAGTATTGAAGCCTGGGGTCTATTTTAAGAAACTTGATTAATGTAGCAGAGAGCAACTGATCCCGATGGAACTGTGCCAGCAAGAATTAGGATCTGCAGGAGAAGACATGATTGGAGAGGGTGGGGGGAATTGCTCCCCCTAGCATTCCCCTAGCACTGCATTCAAGTGTCAGCCATGAATTTAACACCCCCACGTAGGGCTTTACCTCACAGCCTCACAATGCTGCTTACTACCAACGGAGCCAGGCTGCCGCATAGGACAAAATATAGTGAAAGTAGTTACAAAGTTCATTGATAGAGGATAGCCATTGGCACTCCATTATTTATAATAAATATAATCAATTCAGTTTGCATTTTAAAAATGTTAAAACTTGTACTACTTACTTTAATCATTGGTTTTGCAATGAAACAAAACAGGAAGGAAAAATAAATAAATCTTTTCTCTTCCTTCCAACCCTCCCAGCCTAACAGAAAAAAAAGGTTGAGTTCCATTTGAACCCTTGGAGTCTATTCCTATTGAATCTTTGGAGGCTAGCCTCGTTAAGCATGCACTTACCATTATTTTTTTAAAAGACGATGTTTCCGGCAGACCATGAAATTGGATTTATATTCCACAAGTGGGGCTGATTGAATAACTCCCAGGCAACAAAGCCGAGAATGACATATCTGGTTTAACTTACTGCTGGGATATAAATCCTATTTGGTGGCCATGCTTTATACATTTATAATAATAATTTTTTTTATCTTAAAAAAGTTAAAACATTTTTCAATAAAAGGCTAATTAATATAAGCGCAACAGCTTTTAAAAGAGCAAAAGTCTCTTTCTAAATTGTTTCTGATTAAATCCTGCAAACTGCCTCTTATCTTTTTCCAGGTGTTCCTGACCTCAGTAAAATATGTCTTAATGAGGAGTTCAAAATGAAATGAAATGATTTACGAAAGTACCTATTTAATCTCACTCCCCTTTCAGTTCTGCATTAACCAACTTCAGAAGAAAATGTTCTGTTAAAAGAAAAGGAGCATCTATGGTTGTTTATAGGAAAGAGAGAATTCCTGTATGAAGTGTTTTGGACCTCTCCTACCACGTACCAATTGTGCACTTGTGAAAAACAGTTGGAAGACTGGAACTCCCCCCTCCCAAATGCACATAATGCAGGTTGTGTTTTGATGGACTTCCTTCCATTAATGGTTTAAAAGAAACACAAACCTTTTACACACGGTGTGAATATCTGATGCACCGTAGATGGGAGAGATGCTCAGCAGAACAATGTAGAATGGAGTGGCCACATGGCAGTCCAGGGTCAAAGGACCAGGTGGTTTTGCTCTGGAGGTTTATCAATGTTAGTGAGAGATACCAACGCCACATGCACACGTGTTAACACAGAGTATAGGCAGAATTATGTCATCCTTAAAGCAACGGGGGCCAACATTTGTTTCTTTCTAACATTTGAGCCTCCCCTTTGAAATAAACTTGATAAATTGTTTTCATTTTTTGACCACGTCTGTAGCTCACGTTAATCCTTTTGGGTCTTCAATAATCAGCTACTCCTTGTGTCTATTCTAACACTTCATCCACAATTCCCTTATATGATCCAGGAAGGAATACCTTATTGACAAGAACAAAGTCCTTAGGCCAGGTGAGATGCGTCCCTTTTACTTGGGTGGGAAAAATAGGATTCCAGCTAATCCAGGTTAAAACCAGAATGGATTCTGACAGCCTGTTAATGTAGTGAGATATTTAACAACAACAAAATTACATTCATATAGCGCCTTTCACGTCTGGAGGTACTTCAAGAAGGAAACTAATGGGCATTAATTCAGTTCAGTTACACCTTTGTCCAGTTTATTATGAATTAACCTTTAGATCTTTCAAATATCTCTACTCTTTTACTCCCTCCCATCGCTGTGATCTGCGAAACATACCCTTCACTCTACTAACTTGGGCCTGCTCCACTTCCTCCACTGTCTACACTGACTGTCAGTGGGTGAGCTCTCAACCAACTCTGTCCCTGCTCTCTAGAACACTAACCCTAAATCTCTTCACCTCCCTCCACTTTCAAAACCCTTGTAAAATCCTGTTTCTTTGACTGGATCTTTGGCTACCTCCCTCCTACCTAAGTCAACTGCCATGAAGTGTGCAAGAGTGATTTTGAAGCGTTTGAGATAAGGCACTATATCAAATGTAAGGATTATTATTTAGATTATTATTTGGGTGACTTGGCTTCTGAATTTGCTTCCTGGTAAGGAAGTGCCTGCCTAGATTTCTTAACATCAACAGAATTACTTTTCATATTCCCTTGCTCCCTATCATCAATGCTAGACCACTGTCTTAAGATTTGGGCAGTGTCAACTGAAACTTCTGTTAGGCAGGAGATTACAACTCATAATTTATTGCTTGGTATTCGAGTAAGCTCAAAATTTCACTCAATGAAGGATGACTGGTGCGCGGAACAGATGCAAATTAAGCAAATAGGAGAATTCACTTGGAATTAGTGGATTAACAAAATGTGGCTAATTGTCTAAATGGTCAACCTTGAAACCACAATCGTACTCTTGTAGTAGGGGACTATCTACAGGATCCTGGCATTTGTAGATTTATTTTGAACTCTTCACATCCACCCCACATTTTATGGCGAGATGTTTAGTGCTTTCACAGTTGAGATAGATTGATTGGGGAGCTTGTAACAAGGAAATGGTTAGGCTTAGTGAACAAACCCTGTTCACTTGCACTCCATGCTGTGCTTTGTGATTACCAGAGTTTTGTACACAGTTAGTGGCAACTATTTAACTGTAGAAAGTACTTTTGTTAAAAAAATAAACGAGAAAGGATTGAATGAATGAGCAATCCCCTGTGAAAGTCCATTTGTACCAGGTATAGATAAGTATAGCAGCAGCTAATGAGTCCCATACTGTGGCAGTCCTGCTGTGTAAGGAAGCACCCCTGTTAGTCAGAACCTGTAAAACTGATGGATTGAGCAAGGACGCCCACCATCACAGCCCAGCAAGCAGTTTATATCACCATGTGGTGCCACATAACAAGCAGCTAAATCAGAGAGAGAAATCCTTCAGTAGTCGAGCACTTTTCTCTATCCAGCTACTAGGTGGTCTGTCTGTATTGACAGGCCTCCAGAATTACCTTTTAATGATTACTTTTGGCAATTGTGCATCCAGTAGATTTATATATTAAAAAAAAGCAGAACTACACATGGTAACTTATTACAAATGTGATAACCTATTATTTGGACTTGATATAAAACGACCATCCATGAACTTTTCAGGATCTGTTCCAAAGCTGTATAATCAGTCTGGTGTCTACATCTGGCTGTCTGGCTCTTTCTATTTTGTTTTCAACAAGCTTTAAGTGAAATATTGAGGGTACTCTGACATGCTGTTTGTTAAGTATGGAATTCAAGTGAGGGGACTGATTAACCCTTGCACTGCTGACAGGTCTAGGGAATGTTGTATTTACACGGGCTGACTAATAGTTTTTCTGTATCATAGTCAAGTGAGGTCAAAGCAAACACTGCTGTTGCTACAATAATGTTCAATAATGTCAAATAACATGAGAATTCATCCACTGTGCAGGAGGCTGATAATTAACAGATTGTTTGCAAACGTACTCACTACACTTGCTTTTTGTTTCAAAAACACAGACATCCTAGAATGCACATCAAAACCGCACTTGTGGATGCTCATCTGTACTGTTTGAAGAAATGGGTTCTGGACTTCCTCGTTGAAAACAAGTAAGAATATTGTGTTATTTCAACATTATTCCCTTTGGGTAATGAAAGATGTCAGTATCTTTAATATAAGTCCCTGCATGTCAGGGAAATCAATCATCATCATTTCTCCAAGAGCAGCAATAAGGTAATGTACCATATATTTTCTATTCGCCTCACAAGCAAGAGACCTGGGTTCGATTCCCAGCAGGTCAGAGTGAAACCTTGGGCAAGTTTCCTTACTCTACACGCCTGATAATAATCCTTCAAGAAAAAAAACAACAATAATTTGGTCACTTAATCCATGACTGTTTGTGGGACACTGCTGTGTGTTGGGTTTTGCCTATAAATATACAGTCTATTCACTTTACAGTATATTCTGTGAAGCGTTTTGAGACGTCTACAAGACTTGAAAAGCGCTGTATCAACGCAAGGATTATTATTATGATTATTATTATGTGCTGGAAATAGTATCACTGGTCTTGCATTGGGTCCACTTAGGCCTTGCAGTCTGTGTGGGGCACAAACTACAGTATAAGCCAGAGTAAGTTACTGATTCCCATTTGGATCTGTGTAGCAAACTTTGATTTCTTGTGACTTTTGCATTCAGGAATGAGTTTAATAGAAATGGTGTAATTATTTACTCCAGTCTTGTGAAAACTCATATCTTTTCCCTGGAAGATTGCCTTGTGAATGAAATAGAGCCTTTGATTCCATCTGGTGCAAAAAAGCTCACATTTCTGCCTTTTTTAATGATTAACCATCAAAGAGTCGCATAGGAAACAGATCTTTAAATGGTCTGAATTGAAATCATATTCCTAGAAATGTAATGTAATCACCCACTTAATAGATTGCATTAACTTGAGTAGAGTGTCAGTGTGAGAGAGAAAGAGAGTGACTAAATAAAAATATTTAACTATTAGACTGCTGGTAACATCAGGCAATTCTGAGCTCCCTGAACATTGCAGTATTTTAACAGTTTCATAATTGAAAAATTCAACTGTGATGATAACAAACCTAATTGTAGTAATTAAACTACTTAGACTTCACAGGTATGTTTATTACTGTAGTGTCAACCCATACCAAAGTAAGCACTTAAATTCTGGTATGATTATACTATCAACAGAGATGTCACTGTGAGGTGAAACAGGAAGCAAAAATTACATTGTCGCTCAATATCAAATTGGGCCAGGAAAAAAACATAGTGGGAATACCTTGCTTGGCTCATATGCAGAAGACACCAACATCGTTTTGTTTAGCCTTATTAAAGAGTGGTCATGTGAAATTAATAACATTAAAAATGATCTGTTCAAAGTTTTCAGGCCATCCAATCCCTCTTCTACATTCTCTTTATTATTATTTAAATTTTATTTATATCGATTTTCATTTCAAAATAGGGGAAAAAAATTGGCATTTCTGAAGGTTTATTTTAATAGCTACTCTTAACTGAGTACTTACATTAATGTATTCATCCCAAATAAACATAATAAAGAGTGAATCATGTTACCATAATGTTCGTTAAAAAGTACACTGTTGAAAATAAAACAGTAGAACATTGTGACATTTTATTTTAATTTTTTCAATTTGGGTTTATTTAGGTCCACAAAAGGGTTCCTGTCTCTTAAAACTATTCAGTAAAGTATCTTTCCAAGTTTTCATTCACTGTTAATGTAGGATTTTACAGAAATAAACGGAGCTGTATAAATGTTTATTTAAATAAGCAATTTTAGTAATAATAAAGACACAGTTGGAACAGAATATCTCTTTAAAAACCCCGGCATTAGGTATGCAGTTGGCAAATCGGTATTCATCGCCCAAGCTCTGACTCCCCTTTTTGAAAAGAAATATATTGAATATTATTTCTCAAAACTCATCTTTCAAACAGCTGTAGTTGGACCACCAAGTTCAGGGCGTAATCTTGCCAGGCTCCCGGGCTGAAGGCCCATGCCAGGAAACCTGTGTGACAGTTGTGATAAAGGAGCATTCAGGGAGAAATTAACAGTTTAGTCTGGACCCCGCCTGAATGTAAACCTAACCGGGCCCCATGCTCGCAACTCACACACACGCACTGAAGTGCAAATCTACCCCAGTGTGTCTGCAAAGGGCAGGTCTGAAGTACATGAAGGCTAGTCAGTTGGCCAGGTCTGTGAGCCTTTCACTCGCCATGTTGACAACTCCCAATAAGAGTGTGTTTGAAAAGTGCCCCGAACATTTTTCTAATGTTCGTTATTTCTGGCTGTACTTCTTGTCATGACAAGAAATTGTTTTATTCACTTTACACCTAGAGTACAGCCTCAAGCTTGCACTCAGTCCAGATGTAGAACAAACTACATTAGAAAACTACCCACGTTTATACTAAACAAAAAACCTGAAGGGATTTCCTAATAAATTAACGCATTCAGCGCCAAAGTGTACATGTGCATAACGTTCAGAAATTTACGTCAGAGCAATCTGACAATCTGAACGTCAGTCATATTTTAGCATCCAGCTAGTCTACACCAGAAGCAAGACAGCGCTCTATTGAAGTGTGCTATGACCAGAGGTTCCCTGTATTATATTTCTACAAATGTCTTGCCAATTTCCTTTTAAATGCAGTTGTGAAGTCTGCTTGAGTAGCCATTTGTGGTAAGCATTTGATAATTTTAACAACCCACTGGGTAAGAAAAAAATCGTCTGACCTCCTTTTTTTACTTCTAATAATACACCTCAACTTTTGCCTTCTTGTTACTAAATCATTCAGTGGACTAAACAAAATCCTAATGGTTCTAGTCGATATCCAACTGCTTCCTGTGCACTCCATATTCATGTGGAATTGCTTTCCCAGACATAACACTTAAATATCTGAACCCGACACAAACAGAAAATCTTGCTCAATTTTCTTTCTGTTATATCCACCACAATAATTGTAGTTGGTCTCAATTTTAGGAATTTATTATTGTATAAACTATGATTTTGTTCAGTGTTTTCTCTTTTCGGTAGATTGAATTTCTCAATGAATAATTCAGCAAGCTTGTGGTACAAAGATTTGCAAACTGACAGGTTTAATCTACATTTTAGAAATCTAAGTACTTTAATATAAAATGTGGTTTCTTGTTGAGTGCTTTCAGTTTCTTTTTGTTTAGATTGAATTACTGACTGAATGATTAGACGGGCTGTGGTGGAGTTGGTTATTTTTATTTCAAGTGTATGGAAATGTTGATCTAAACATAAAATCTCACAGCAAAGAGAAATCGTGTTTATCAATATTTAACTTTTTTTTAAAAAATACCACTTTCAGATTCTTGTGGCTCTTTGGGTGACAATTCTCCCAAACTCACAGGCACCTGAGTTTGAACCGAACATTGAGAAATGGTGGTAAATTCCTCTGCTAACTGCTACCGTCTTTACGCAATGAGTTTGAGCATTCTGAATCCAGTTTTTACTGGGAATTAGCCCACAGCACAAAACCAACGTAAATTGACAGTCACAATCACGGAGGGCACATGGGTGATGTACAGCAAATACGGATTTCCATACTGGGTTTAGGCCAAGCCATCGTGACTTTGATATTAAAGCATGTTATTGGGAGATTACCAAAACCTTTCCTGTTGTAGCTGGCTGTGCTACACCATACACTGGCTACCTGAAATGGATAAATCTTCAACTCTGGTAACATCGATACAGGAATAAATAAATGATACAAAATTGTTCGGGAAACGTTGGTGAAAGGGCAAGAATCCTTCATAACTGCTTGGCCTCATTTGTCATTACCATTTGTCAGCACTGTGACACCGTGTGGATTTGATTAGAATGGCTTCATCTCGCCACTCAAATCATGACTGGTCCCTCAAGGTAAAAGTTCTTGTTCTTTAATTCACTTTACAGTATATGCTGTGAAGCGCTTGAGAGGTCTCGAAGACGTAATAAGGCACTGTATCAAATGCAAGGATTATTATTAAGGCGGGACCTCTATATTTATAAAATCATAACAATAGTCAAAGCAGGTGTACTTCAACAAATGTTCGTGCAGCACATCAGCTGTGAATCTTCAAACACCACCTCTTCTGTCTTGTTGCCTGGATCACTGCCTCTCTGTACATTATATGCCAAAACTTAAACGCAGCTTTGCTATTACTTGCAACCTTATAGTTGCTGGGTTACGTTAAGGGCATTAGGTTATGGGCAGTCTATTTCCTGCTGATTCCCTAGCACGGTATAATTTCTGCTGGCCTTCGCTTCCAGCAATTACAATAGTCAATTTTGTAACAGAAGCTTTTTTAAAGTAGTCTCTCTGGGTGCACCCAGTTGTTGCGTTACCGAACATTTAAAAAAAATCCCCTTTAAGCTTGTGGGTTTTTCCCATCCCACATTGCTGATTGCTGCACCAGCATATATGAATGCTACATATTCTTAAGTTCTTTCTTCCCAGAAATAATTTCTGTTCCTTGCAGTATGCAAGTCTTTCACATCTGCTTACAGCGAATCTACCAAGTACTTTTTTTAAAAAAGTGTCTTGAATAAAGCTTGTAATTGCTTCTCTTGTACTGCTTAAAAACGTGTTGTGGGAAATAAACCAAACAGCATTTAAAGTGCTTTTATTAACAAAAAAAATGCCGAGTGTTAACCAGTTTTGTAGCCATTAACACCCTTCAATCCTATTTTCAGAGGTTTTCAGTCTCTCTATCTCCTGATTATACCGTCTATCGTTACTGACGTTTTAATTCAGATTCCCAGATATAAATATAATTTCCGTAATCCCTGTCCCAGACGTGTCTAAGTGCTGTGTTATCTATTCTTTAAAGTGGTTTGACTTTTTAATTCAGATATTTGCGAGTGAGAGACCTTCTGCTGTGAGCCAGAGAAACACAGAGTAACTGTTGTTCAGCTTCTTTATTCACATGGAAATTATAAATGGCATCAAAGGATGGGGTAGGGGGGGTGGGGTGAGGATGAGGGTGAGGGGGGAAGAGAGACTTAAGACAGCTGTATTCCTTTATTGTTGGATCAACATTTGAAGACTATTGAAAATCCAATCTACATAATATCATCATTAAAATACATGAGCCTTGTTACTTGTTAAAATCCTTGTATTTTCAGATGCCTGAGAAGTTAGTAATTCTCCTTCTATAGCATTTGGCAGTTTTTTTTAAAGTTTAGAAATGGTTAAAAGAAGGGGTGTGTGGATGGAATGCACCAGAGAGGTAGAATGAAGGTTCATGGCTTTGACCTCCCTATATGATGAGTTCCTGATTCCCTGGATAAGGGAGGAACTGAGCAGTAGATCTGTCTCCCGACAAGAAAATCCAGGTAGCTGATCACACCCAGCGCTGTTTTTTTTTGCATCCTAGCGCTTAGGTACATGGTGATACTGATGAAAGAACTGATTAAAATCTATCTTGAATGAAAATGTTATGTGCACACAAATAGGCACTTTTTTGAGCTGGTTGTGACGGCATCAGTGGGAAGCATTCATTCTGAGGGAAAAGGCTTGCCATCTTTGCAGGCAAAGACCCTGAACTCTGTGGGAAATTGTCAGAGAACCAATAATTTCACACTTTTTCCGCTGTCACTTGATCATTGTGCTGTGGCAATGCGCTATGATTCTGGTGGTTCAGTTTTATTTGATCACTTGCTAACAGAATGTTACTTTTTCTGCATAGGTCTTTCACATCGATCCGGGGCGAGTTGATTCCATATTTGGTCCGTAAGCAGTTTTCTGCTCCCAGCTCTTCTCAGCATAAAGATGACACAGATGAAGATCACAAGAAAAACCTGAAACCAATAGGTTAGTCCCAATGTTCTGAGTTGAATTATGTGCATCCTCCTGTGTGTGGGGGTGGGTAAGCGGGGTCTCCTCGGGGCTGAGTTGGCTAGAAGGTGATGTGCTTGGCAATGGAATCCCTTGTGACTGTCTCAGTGAGCTGGTGTCTGAGTTGGGCAGATCTGCAGTTCTCTAAGGCACTAGCCTTTCACATCGGGAGGCCATCCCATGTTAATGACAGACCAACCAGCCTGGCTTGTCGGCAGGACTTGCTGCTTAGAGGGCAGACCAGTCACTGCTACAGGGATTCTTCCCACTTGGCTTCTGTACAGCAATACAGCAAGCTAAAGCCCTAAAGGGTAGGGTAGGTTCTAGCTGGACAAGCAGCGGGAAAGAATGAGAAGCTTTGTTTTTTTCTGATTAAAGAAAATCAGAAAAAGCTGTACCTTAACACACACGGAATCGTCTGGTCTCTAAGCCTTGTCTCTTGTGAACTTCTGCCCAATACTTTCCAGTATTAGGGAAGTAGGAGGTATCTCTCCAGACAGCTTGTGCACTCCATTTGAGACAAAAGGACATTTTCATGGTTCCATTTTTAGCATGATCATGGGTTTCTTCATGAGTTGGACACATGGCTGCCAAAAACAAATTGTGTGATTGACTGGATGTCCACCTGACTGCTCGTGATCTTTAGTACAAGCAGAAGAGGCCAAGCTACACATCCATGAACAGGACACTTGTACCCACATTCATAATTAACTAACGCTGCCTCATTCAGGGAAGCTGTAAGCATGGTTAGTGTGAAATGTACAAGATCGAGAACTCTTGGGAGGGCAGGGGTAAAACATCTTTTGACTCACAGTAGCATTGGATTTTTACAACTTCATGTCAAAATAAATCACAGGCTTGATAAGACCCCAGTTACTGCATGTCTTTTTCATTATTTCCATAACCAGCAAATTATTTCCTTCTAGTTAATTTGGTGAAGATCCATTTTGCTGACAGGTTTGTTTGTTTTTCAAAGATATATTCAGCTACGCAAAAGAGGACAATCTATTGAATTTAGCCAGAGAAAAATCCTTCTGGAATGATCACCACGGAGATATGATTGATCCATATCATGGAAGCAAACTGCGTTGCTATGTACACATCATGAAGGAAGGGATATGCTATCGTGTCAATACCCTCGCCTCGTATATCGAAGCCAACCGTCAGGTAAGAGGTACATCTTTCTGCTGTCAAGTTGTCTGTCTCTGCTTAGAGAGGGCTGTTTGGGTTAGAAGAGAGTTGGGAACCTTAGGAAGGGATTTCTTTATTGATGAAGAGGAAGCTTCACATGTGAGATTTATTAGTGCTGTTAAGTCCCTTATAGTTCAGTTTAAGTACCACTTTAACTTCAGTAGACTGCAAATCAATCATGTCACTAATGATAATTAATGCAGTATTTCTGTTCTGAAGAAACTGAGTTTGTTACTGAGCAATCACGCAGTGCCCTCTTTTCAATCTATCTGGCGTAGTCTAGCTGGAGAACATCTCAGAAACTGTTTGGTGATCTCGCCAACGTTTTATTTTTCTTATATCCTCAACAATGCTGAATACCCTGTTCTTGTTTGTGATCCTTCAGATTCCAAAACTCCTGTCTTCTCTTATTCAAGAAGATTCACTTATCCACCCCATGGCACAAATCTATACTGACAAATGTATGGTGAGTAGTAACATTCACTGATATTATGATAAATAGTTATTCACTGATATTATGATAAATAGTTACCATTTAAAAAGTAGCCGTACGGATGGACAAGACCGCAAAGAATACGAATAGAGTCCTTGGCTTTGTGTTCAGAGGAGTAGAGTTTAAAAGTAGGGAAATAATGTAATTGCTCCACTGTGTCACTCAGACTCAGAAGGTCACAGGATTGATCCCAAGTCTGATGACTTAGCTGGGCTCAGTCTCACTAGTGGTACAGTTGGTTCCTCCTGCTCAAGGTTGGCAAAGGAAATCAGCAATTCCAGGAAATGTGTGGTAGTGGAGAGAAGCTCAGCAGCCAGATGTTGTGTACTGAGACCAGCTGTTGCGGGTGGAGAGAGGGGCGGGGTTCGCACCTGAATCGAGACCACTTAGGTAAGGTAGAGGAGGAGATGCACCAGACAAAGGAAAAGGGAGGTAGAGCATATTGAGAAAAGGAAGAGAGAAAATGAGCGAAAAGAATAGTATTCTGTTGTACTCAATGGTTCAGAATTCAATAACACATTTGCCTTTTGTAATGCACCAAGCAGTACATCCAGACATGATATTTGACACATCAGAGCAATTCTAAAAGGGAGAAATTCAATTCACCACCCTCTGGGATGTAAAATTGTGCCTCAAACTGGCCCTGCTTTGATTGTCCAGCCACATGGCTTGCTATCAAAAAATTGGAAAAGTCAATTATAGTAATTTTTTTAAAAAAGGTTGGTGTTCCTTGACTTGTTTTGACAAAAGCATTGAAGTCACCAGGTCTGTGATCCCTGTGACATTGGTACAGCTTTATGGCTGACACTAGCCTTCAGGTCCTGACACTGCACTCTCTTTGATCTGTTGGGTAGAAAGAAACTTGCAGAGCAAATGATTGGGGTTGTTTTCATTCCCTTCCTATTTCTGTTTATCATTTGACCTTTTAGAATAGTTTTACACACACTGCACACTACACATCACACACACGTAAACACACAAATATAAACACACACAAGCACACTACACACATACTGTTCTATTTCTCTCCAACAAGATATGTCTGTGATCTATGCAGTGCTGTGCCAGGGTTATTTTGTAACTTGCTAGGAAGTCACTAGTTTTTCTGGTTTTAATTCCCTCCTTCTTACCCCCACCAATCCACCTTTTGAGGCTTGTATGGATGACCCTGTTACTGTGCCGTGCAACTTGATGTGTCATTATTGAAATGTATATTGACGACAGACTGAAAGACCCATATTAATGTTAGCAATTTGGTTTATCTAATTCAGCAGAGTTAGTACTGGAATGAGAAACTCAGGTTGCTGTAATTTTGCCTTCTTCCTTAAGTAAAATACGACTGTGTGCGTTAAATTGTTTTCTTTGATTGAGCGCGTTCTTTTGTTTTTTTATGTATGCTTTTATAAGTAAACGATGAATATAATGGAGGAATTATTTGAAACCAGACATCTTTGAGCAGGAGCTTCCTATCTTCACATCATTCCTTCCATAAGTGGCATAAGAAAGGAGGATGGTCCTGTTTTTAAAACCCTGGGTGGGCTTTGTGTGTCTTATCAACAGAAGCATTACTCAGCTGGACAAAAACAAACATTGACTATAATGATAAGTAACCCTTCAGCCCACACACAGTTAGGATTGAGCAATAACGGATGCGCTGCAGTACAGTAGGTTGTAATTAAGGGCAGCCAGCTTCAGTTAGACCACCTGTATGAACATAAGCACACCATTCCCATTGACTTTTGATGAGAAATATTTAAATATTTTAGTGAACAGTTTCATTCCTTTACTTTTTCATGAGATCTTTAGTGTGTTTGGTGAATTCCTGAGGTCACAGTAGTTTTTAAGTTAGTACTGTTAGTAGAGTTGGATTCCTTTTTATAAATGCAGCCTAGTTATGCTTTGTAGCACTCAACATTATTTTTTGTTTTAGCTGTTTAGCTGAGCCTGTGTGTGGTCAGACCATCTAATCCAAAATGGTAGTTTAATGAACGCTGCTTGTAACACTGGTATGTTCTTATTCACGCAAGGGCCATCCAAAATTGTCAGCATTTGCATCAGAGCATAGAGATGGATGAGTTTGCTTTTGTCCTAATGTGCACACTATAAAATACAGAAAAATGAATTCCCCTCTTCTGTTTAGTTTCACAATATCTTGCCTTCTCTACATGTGATCCAACCACATGTATTTCTTTCAGCTGATTAAAATACAGCAACAAAGATTAAATAATAATAATCCTTGCTTTTGATATAGGGCCTTATCACATCTTTGAGACGTCTCAAAGCGCTTCACTGGACGTAAAGTATAATGACTGTGTATTTTGTGGGCAAAATGCGGCAGCCAATTGCACACAGATCTAAACTACCAGCAACCAATAAGCAGATACCTGCTTTCATTATAAACACCTGGGATCATGTGATTATTACAATTAATAATGTTTCCTTGAGCAATAAATAAACATTTCTCCCCACAGGTGGGATCTGATAGTATGATTGGCAACTCGACCAGAGTGGCAGAGAAAACCTCCATCAAACGCTCTATCATTGGGAACTCAAGCACTCTGAAAGAAAAAGTCAAGATCACCAACTCAATAATTATGCACAATGTGACCATCGAAGAGGGGTGAGCACATTTTTTTAAAATCATGATTTATATCTAAAGGCAAAATACTGCAGATGCTGGAAATCTGAAATAAAAACAGAATTTGCTGGGAACACGCAGCAGGTCAGGCAGCATCTATGGAGAGAGAAAAGTGAGTTAATGTTTCAGGTCGATGTTGAAACCATTACCTCATTTTCCTCTCTCCATAAATGCTGCCTGACTGTTGAATGTTCCCAGCAACTTCTGGTTTTATTATAATTTATATCTACTTAATTTATGCAGTTTGTTACACTTGGCAACTCCAAAATTTACTTTGAAGATTTATCTCATTGACTCTAGTACCAACAGAAGGTATCAGTTGAACAAGTGATTCTTGGCCATAACTTTATGGTAATGTTCTGCTACTAACGTGCTCTGACATTATCATTTTATTGTGTTACTTATATAATGCACCACACTGATTTTTGGTGGCGGACCTAATAGCATTAGGAGTAATGCAAATATGGGTCAGTATCAACAGTAGAACTGCACCTGTTGATATAATGATGGCATGTGTTGTATTTGGGAGGCGGGCTGATAATGAGGCACTGTATTGTAATAACCCTTCACCTTCTGCTCTATTTGCTTTGAAGGGTAATAATCATAATCCTTGCATTTGACATAGTGCTTTTCAAGTCTTCTAGACGTCTCAAAGCGCTTCACAGAATATACTGTAAAGTGAATTGACTGTATATTTGTGGACGAAATTCGGCAGCCAAATTGCGCACAGCAGTGTCCCACAAACAGTTGTGGATTGAATTTTTTTTCCTTGAGGGATTATTATCAGGCATGTGGAGTAAGGAAACTTGCCCAAGGTTTCGCCCTGCTGGGAATCAAACCCAGGTCTCTTGCTTGAGAGGCGAGTGCTCTAACCACCGCGCTACAGGACTCCACAGTTCAGCAAATGTCAATCCATTGATATTAATGGTGTCTGTACTTCAAGACAGTCTTTGGTCAGATTTTCATCATGTTGGATTTTGCAGAGAGGATTTATATATGAAAAAGAGTCAGAAGTAGTGATTTGGAATTCAGGAAAGCCTAGTTTATTGTTTTAAAGAAGTACATTATTCACATGGTTTATTTTGCCAGCAAGTATTTGTTATCCAAGAGGCACTAACTACAAAAGAAGTTCCTTATAATACCACTGTTTGATATCATAATTACATCTTCTGGCATAGCCCACCCCACCCACAGCCATAATTGCTGTGTAAAAGGGATCAATAAATAATGCAGCATCTTGCAAGGAGATAAACAAGACTGGTTGCATTCAAACAGAACTTCACATATAGTCGTTTAGTAACTAAATATATATTAACTGTATTCAGGCAGTTAAATTTAGTGCTAATTCTAACTCATTGAGTGGGTTTTTCTCCCCGTTTACGTAGATCATATATATCTTTATGAAAAGTAGGTAATATTGTACAGTTTAGCTTTTTTTCTGCCTGTGATGCATTGGAAGCCCTTGATTAAATTGCAGCTGAGTTATTAACTCCCTATTATGTATATCGTGAGTCAACCAAAAAGTAATTTTTGCTAATTTATAAGCAAATAGATAAAGTACCATTTTGTCCAAATGGAATATCTCAACTTTAATTCACTGACCAATTTCCTAAAAACTTAAGTGGACGTCATATTCAAGAAATTAGTTATGATTATTGATGATTGGCAACGCAAGAAGCTCAGGATTTATTTAACCAAGACTTATGAGCTTTTAACTGATTGTGCACTAATTTAGCAGGCTGGAGGTTAGGTAGCACCATCCGTGGGAATTAACTTTGCATTAGTAGAGCTGGCGGTGATTCAACAATCGCATCATTTCAAATGTCTGTAAATGGTTATTTCCCCATATAATAATAATAATAATAATCCTTGCATTTGCTATAGCGCTTTTCACGTTGGGAGGACGTCCCAAAGTGCTTCACAGAACACACTGTGAAGTGAATTGACTGTATATTTGTGGGCGAACGTGGCAGCCAATTGCGCACAGCAATGTCCCACAAACAGTCGTAGATTGAAAATGACCAATTTATTATTGTTTTTGGTTTTGGAGGGTTTATTATTAGGCTCTGTGTGGAGTAAGGAAACTTGCCCAAGGTTTCGCCCTCTGCCTGGAATTGAACTCAGGTCTCTCACTTGCAAAGCGAGTGCTCTAACCACTGAGCTACAGGACTCCATAATGTCATCACCATTCACTGTTTATTTGTAAGAGAAGGTAATGAGGGCTAGTTCATGATGTGTGTGAAAACTCAATTCTTTCACAACTCAGCCTAGGTTTGAATCCAGCAAAAAATGTTGGAATTAAATGTCTCTTTGTCTTTCTCTCTTTTTCTCTCTTGCTGCTGTGCTGTGTCCTAACTGAAGCCAGACTTAATGCAGTATCTTATAGGGATAAAACCTCCTTAATACATATTTGTGAAAAGTTTTTAGACTTGGAGTAAGTCTATGGGAATGGAAATGTCACACTGATACAAAATCAGAAGTAATCAGAAGTAATGGCAGAGAGGCTCATTATGGTCTTTAAAGTATTTAATCATTTATTGCATCTATATTTATTAGACACTTTTAAAGGTGGGAGCATGTTTATTAAAAAGAAGCTGGGCTTAGAATGACTCAGAAGGTTATATTTTTCAGCCAATTGAAACATCAATCACAGAACATAGACAAGTTTGCATCATGGACATCACCAGGTCAGACTGAGTGACAGTGAGTCAAACCAGCAGAGAATAAGACATGGCAAAGTTATGGTTCTTTAAAGTTTACGTTTGTATTCAAATTGAATGAAATTCTCCCCACCTCCGAGTAACCAGTACAGAAGCTTGAAAGATTGCAAGAGACCACCCTCATGTTCTGTGGCAGCGAGTGTTCTGCATTACCTACTACAGGAGCAGAGAAAACCTTTTTCAGATCAATGGTCATAAAAATAAAAGGACTGTGATGGTGACACTCCCTTCTTTAAATGTATTAAAGATGTACCCAACTATAACTTATGCATGTAAAAACAGCCAAATGCACAGGATGGAAGCAATTACTTTGGCGGAATGCTTAATATAATTCTGTTCAGGCCTTTATTGAACTTTATGAATTTCATGTGTACCGTTCATAGAGTGTGAGGCAGATGTGAAGGTTTATCGATTGCTCTTAGATGGAAATTAGTTGAGCAAACGAAGTCTAATATTGCCTTGGAACCATGTAATGGAAGAATCTCACATGTTGAATGAGTTGGGAGATCAGAAAAAAAGTTGTGCAAAATCTAACTTGCTTTGAAATAGGGAATGACTGGCACATCACGAGGCCATTCAGAAGAAAATTGGAATCATTTGTACATGTAAAACCTTGATTAACCTCTCCATTTATTTTGCATTGTAGATTGCGTGTCTTTTGGCTAGTGTGTTTTTAATTAGAATATGCGATCAAAATTAGTGGTGGGGGTGGGTTCAAGGTAAATGAAAGGAGTAGCACGGATTTCAGAAAACTTAAACTTCCCTCAATGGAAAATAATGTACACATTGTTCAGCAGTCGACGGAAAAAAATGCATCTTTTGTGAAACAAATATGGTCACTCAATCCCCGACTGTGTGTGGGACACTGCTGTGTGCAATTGGCTGCCGTTTTCGCCCACGAAACGCACAGTCACTACAGCTTACAGTATATTCTGTGAGACATCTCGAAGATGTGATAAGGCGCTATATCAAATGCAAAGATTATTATTATTATTAATAGTGTCACTGTGTGAGGTACTTTCAGAATCACTCAGTCCCTGTTCCCCTGCAAGTCACGCTTACTGGCTGATATTCCTGCCAGTGTCATGCTCAGTTTGGGACGAAGTCTTGCCATCACCTACTGCTCCATCTCTGGCCATGATCTGAACTTTGTTTTTGGTTTCCATTTTTATTTGGTTTTCCATCCCTCATCTATCAGATAAGGCAGCAGTGAATATGATATCGTGCCAGATCCAACCACAAGAAGTGGGCCTGGTCAATGCTCATTGAGGACAATTTTGACTCCTCCTGCCCTGTGGTGAAGCACAGTGCGTGTCTCATGGTGGATTGTTTGAGATTTACTATGTTAGTAAGCAGACATTGGACACTGACTTAATTAAACCCTGTTTTATTTTGTAGGTGTGTCCTACAGGGGAGTGTTGTTTGCAATGGAGCGACCATTGGAAAAGGGGCTGACCTCAGGGATTGTCTGGTGGGAAGTGGACAGTGTATCGAAGCTAAATGTAAGGAATCTAATTGTTCATGTTTTTCTTTTCGGAGGCGCAAAAGGAACTGTGGCGTAAAAGAATTCTGATGGAAAATCAAGAGCAGTCTTAATTTTTTTCTTTTCTGCTGTTCCCATTGCCAACGTATGGATAGTTAATCTGTTTCTGGACATTTGCCTCACATCCTTAACAAACAGGCTCTCATTAAGTTGCGATTGGTAAACGTTTCACCGTAGCACAACAGAACTATTGCTCAGATTTACTTACAACTCAGATTTACAACTTTACAACAACTTAAGTTTGCCTCCAAAGCTCAATTGGCTGCCGCATTTCGCCCACAAAGTATGCAGTCAATTCACTTTACAGTATATTCTATGAAGCGCTTTGTGGCGTCTGGAAGATGTGATAAGGAGCTGTAGTAAATATGAGGATTATTATTATTATTGTAGTAAGATCTTTTCGGATTGATCTTATTCTGTAAAAGTTTCTGAAGCATTTCTTATACATCAAAATACAAATAGAAATTGTTGTTGGAACTTTCTGCCAAAACTGAAGTATGGTTTATCAACATTTATCAAAATGTTGATAAAATCCCCAATTCCACTTTCAACGATGGCTTTTCTTTGTCTCTTTGTTTAGTTTTCCTTCTGTTAAAGCTGGTATTTGTTGACAGTTTCCACAATGGCTCCATAAGTTGAAACAAATCCGCCATAATCTAAATGTTTGGGTTTAACACAAAAAAACATTAATTTCTTCAAACTCCCTCCTTCAAATTCTCCCTTCCCCTGAAGTTCAACGTTCTTAGAAGAAAGTGAAGCGTATTAAAAAGAAATAGGAATAGGAGGAGGCCATTAAGCCCTTCGAGCCTGTTTCACCATTCTATAAGATCATGGCTGATCTGTACCTCAACTCCAATTACTCGCCCCCTGCCCCATATCATTAATAAGTATTCCCAAGCCTCCACTCAATAAGATTTTAAAAGTATGCAAGAGTGAGGCGGGTTGGCTGTCCCTCTTTTATAACACTATAGTATCTGTTGAGAAAATGCCAAGCTTCCAACAGCCCTGTTAATGAGCCCTAGTAAACTCAGGTACACGCCCACCATGAAATACTGTGTGTAATGTGATATTGCTTTACTTCCCAGATTTCAATGCCAAAGAATGGAACTTATCATCCTGCCAGCTGTCAAACATTTATCTCTGTGCTGTATTTGAAATGTTTAATTGTGTACTGAAACTACTGAATTCCTTCACTACATGTTTACTCTATGCTGTACTTTTGTTGCGAATGGTATTATGAACCGCATAAATATCACGAGGTTCAGTTGAAATGTGTTGAACTTATTATACAAATAATTACAATTTAAGTAAAATATTCAATGTTTTATTGTTTATAAACATCTTTTTATCATTTTAAACATTAATAAATATATGTAATTACAGTCAACATTTTTGTTCACAATTAAACATTTACTGTCCAGTAAATATGTTTGACAACTGGCAACTATAACCAGAATTCGCCAACTAGACGTAGGAATGATAAAATCTATTCTCACTCTTGTTTGCTTTCTCTCATGTGGTCTCTTACCCCCCCTTCTTTTCTTGCTCCATCTGAAACATTCAATGCTTTAAACCACAGAAAAGTCTTCTGCTCCTGATTGATATTAATTAATCCTTGCATTTGATATAATGCCTCATCACGTTGCTGTGATGTCTCAAAGTGCTTGACAGAATATATTGTAAAATGGATCAACTGTGTATTTTGTGGGTTAAATACAGATATTGCACTGAATTAATTGACTCTTAAATAGCACGGATCCTAATTTTTCTAACTTTTGTATTTTTCAATATGTTGGGTGTCTTTCATTATTGTAAAATCCAGGGCCATGATTTTAATTACAGTTAAGATTCACACACATTAGAAACAATTCACACACATTAGATTTTGTGCCTATTCAGTGAGCAGAAGTCACTGAACAAAAAACACACACAAAAAAGCAGCCTCTTTCTCAAATTCAAGATTTGGCTCAGGTTTAACGATTTGGCAGGTTACAAAAATATAATTCAATGAGATTGATTTGGGGGTAAAGAAAACCAAATCCCAGCATGGCCACTCGCCTGCCCTCACCCCACAGTAAACTATTTAGAGGCTATATGCCAAAATTGGTGATCCATGTGTTTATTGAAGAATTTCTGCAGTGCAATTTATACGCCTTTTTGTATAGCTTAGAAAATATAAGTCCTTGGCCAAGTGTGTTAGCACTCCTCAGCAGGAAGGCAGGACATGGTAAGGTATAAGGCGTGGAAAAGTCAACCATATTTCCTATCCCTCATCGCTGTCCATTGAGCTTAGCTGGAAAGTACACACAAGTGGATAACTAGTGAGAACAGTTTGGGCGATGCCTCTCACCTATAGCTTGCCAACATTAGTCTAAACTAACAAGTAAAGACTAGGCACATTAGCAGGGGACCATAACAACAACCACAACCATTTATGTTGTGCCCTTCAAACACAGATCATTAGATCGTTTTCTTTTAGGAAATAACATGATGGGATACAGTACATAGGTAGTTTAGAACATATGTCCAAGCGACCGCCGGGAAGGTGGAAGGCGAACCAGATGGACCTTGGTCCTTTTTCGTCTAGCATTTCTGATGTTCTTATGTTAAGTCAGCGTATGACCACATCATGCATTTCCTCTGGCTGCTGGTAATAGAACCAAAATAGAAGAAGCTTGAGCCAAAGCTTGCCCTATTCTCGAAAGAATATTGTTGGTATTAAAACATAGTGTTCTGTTTTTATTCATTACAAAATATTAAACAACAACAAAATCATATTTATAGAGCGCCTTTCACGTCGGGAGGTTGTCCCAAGGCGCTGGTATATATTTTATATTAAAAGTATATATTTTTGCCACTCTCCATTGTACTTATATTTAATTCAAGACAGTATATTTAACCTCATAGACGTGAGGTGTCTAAGCCTGAGGGAATAATGTTCTTGGTGGTCCTGGCCCAGGAAATAACCTTTTACACTAAAATCTGTCACAAGCTACAGCAATCTGTCCTTGAGCCTACGTCTGAGTTCTTCCTCCTCTCTGTCTCTCTCTCTCTCTTTCACACCCCCACCCCCAACTCAGTTAAAGGAAGTTGGCTTTACACTAAGCTCTCTGTTGTCCTGACATTCGAATCTCATACAAAAGGGCATTGTCCTGAGTCAGCGCGATCCATCATGAGATGAGCTTAACATCTGTCAGGAACACTGTCCACTCTGGCAATGGCTGCGGGGGCTTTATCCTCCGCAGATTCAAACAGGATTTCAGGCTGGCTTGGTAACTTTTACAAGGGGATTTTCTTGTAAAACAGTGAATTTAACTGGTATTATTAATAATGTCTTATAATACATTGGGGTAAGAGTGGTGACTTTAGATCTGAATAGTTCAGAGCAGTGGCCTTGCCTTGATAGTGAATTATTTTTATATATTTGTTGTTTTTCTTTGGCTCGAAAATTCTAAATTCATTGTCTCTACATCCCAAGTTCATGAAGCTCAAATCTGTCGGGGCGAGAGAATATTCTGTCATTCAAAATAAAATCACAGCAAAAGATCACAATCTGTAGTTAAATAAAAAACTGAAATAAATTCTATAGGGATGTTATCTAGAATAACCTGCGTAATTCTAGATATTCAGCGCTTTGGGACGTCCTCCTGACGTGAAAGGCTCTCTATAAATGTAATTTTGTTGTTGTTGTTGTAATCAAATTGTCAAATATCACATTATCTAAAACCCATTTTAGATTCTGATATCTCGCTGCCTCAGTCTCCAGAATGAAAAGGGTTGGTTGGTTTCACAGGGAGGAGGTGTATTGACTGATCATCTGTGAAACATCTGACTTTATCATTGCACAAGGGTCGCAAAATTGTGGTAGAGGGAATAGGGGGAGACAGTTACCTTTAAAGTGGTTATTATTCTTGACGGTGTCTTTGACTTATAATAATAATAATAATAATCCTTGCATTTGATATAGCGCTTTTCACGTCGGGAGGACGTCCCAAACGCTTCACAGAACACACTGTAAAGTGAATTGACTGTATTTGTGGGCGAACGCAGCAGTCAATTGCGCACAGCAATGTCCCACAAACAGTCATATGGATTGAAAATGACCAATTTATTATTATATCTGTTCCCTGAAGAGAAGAGAAGGGATAAAGAATAGGTCAATACTCTCAGATCTGTAGTGATCTATTCTTTTGACCTATAATCTTTGCTATCAATCATCTATTTAATTAGCAATATTCACCAAACAGACTGAGTGAGGTGGGTAGTTCTCAGCCTTCTGTTCTGTTATGTTTGCTTAGAAAGTTAATAAATATAAATTATTTGACATAACAGCACATTAACAGCAATGTTTACTACAGTACATCTTGAATGTGATACTTTTTTTAGCAGTAAAGATGAAATTTCAGATTTCAGTTTTATTCGTGAGTCTTACCTATTATTGAGACGATTCAAATCACTTTTATTTTAATTTATTTTACAATTTACATTTCTCCCTCTTTATTTTTGCAGCAAAACACGTGAATGAGGTGATTGTGGGCAGTGATCGCTTGATGGAAATCTAACCTTGTTGAATCTGGTGCTGGACACCACTGCATTTGCTATTCACCTGGACATTATTGGACACAACATAACGTCCACACGTTAAACACTGACCCGGAATGAGCATTGGGTGTGAATTGACCGTGCTTCTTTAAGAACCAGTTACTAATCAGAAAATTTGATGTGAGGCTTCTAAGCTACAGAAATCAACACCGCTGGTTGTTTGTCCACACTTATTGACTAGAGGTGTGCTAACTTGGGTAGGTTAGAAAATTGACCATTCCACTTCCCTCTCAATCTTCCTTTGAAACATACAACTCTGCTACTACAAAGTAATACCACAAATTTAACATTAAAAAAGATTGGCTTTTAAAACTCAACTATTTGGATTCAAGCATCTTTTGCGGTACTGTTAGACTTGTGAAATAGACCAGATTTAATTATTTTAACATTCTATGCATGAAGTTGACAATGTTCTTGTATCTGCCGTTGATGACGTCATCAAAAGTTTATCCACTTTAATGGTTTATTTAGTTTCCCACCGACAAGTGGATTGATCGAGTTGTGATGGTAGAGCAGAGCTACCCTTAAAGAAGCTTGTGAGATTCTACCTATTGTTCATCTTGGACATTTAAATTCAGATTTATAACTGCGTGTATTTATCTCAATAAAAGATCTGTTTGCTTCTTAATAATTGCTTTTTTGTCTGTGTGTGTGTTGTGTGTAATATCCAAAATACCCGTGGAGCAATTGCAAAATGTGTCAATTCACAAAATTGGTTCACCTGATGATTTTAATCTGATAGATTAGTGTTGTTATTGTTGCACGATAAACTAAATGCCACAAATCCCAAGTTAGCAGCTGGAGCAGGCTTGATGAACTGGATGACTTTCTTATTACAAATTTTCTCATTTTCAACCAAACTAATGAAACTCAATGAGGGAACAAGAAAAAGACAAATCTCAAAAATGAAAATTGGATGTTAATCCGCCTTTTGTTCTGCTCCGAAAAATCTGTATGTTTGTACAGTTTATATAGAATGGTGGGGATCCGACACATAATGGCTTTTCTTGACAGTGATGTTTACTTGGTCTGCTCAGCTCTGAAGGTATTACATTAATGTTCATTCAGATAATAATAATCCTCGTATTTGATACAGCGCCTTATCACGTCTTCGAGACGTCTCAAAGCGCTTCAAAGAATATACTGTAAAGTGAATTGACTGTATATTTTGTGGACGATGACCAATTATAAGGATTATTATTATAATTAGTTTCTCTTCAGAATTGGTTGCCATTTTTCTCACTATTTTAAGATTGAGTTGGTTGGACAGGACAGGCCATTTCCTTTCTTGTTCAGTGCCCCCAACTCCCAGAGCTGCCACTCACTATTCTTTCTCTGAGATTTGCCTTGCACATTACATGCCTCCACATCGCCCTCCTCCGTGCCTGTTTCCTCTAGCCCGCTCCTGCCTTTTGAGATATCCTCTTTGTGGCAAATCTTGTCTTCTGGGGCCCCCACCATCACCTCACTTGCCCACCTCGCTTGCTCCGTCATAACTTCCAGCTAAAAATTCTCCGGCTTCCTCCTCATTTCCCACTTCATCCCCACTGCATCTGTCTTGCAGTTGGAGAAGCGATGTGAAAAGAGCAGCCTGACATCTTACTGAACATGCTCTAAATCTCCACTGTGCTGAGGCTGCCAGCAAAATCCTGACCCATCCACACAGTGCTCAGCCATTGAGAGCAAGTGGCAACAGGAGTGGAAAGAAAGGGTTTATTGCTCTCAGCAAAGTTGTGTCCTATACAATGGGGGTCATTCTCCTTTCCCTTACTGGCAATTTGTCAATGTTCACTGGGCTAACCACCCTGTTCACTTCCCTATGTCTAGTGAATTTGTGGTGTTCCTGGCAAATGATGTATAAAATTTTAATGCTTGTTTAATTCATAGACTCTCAGTGACCAGAAGAGTAGGTAAATGAATGAAGTGGATCAGATTAACTAACGTACATCAGCAAATTCACTGGATTTAACTAAACAGGAAACTGAATCCCAATGTTTTTTTACAGGTTGGCTTCAGCCTGTAATTTTACGTGAGAAGCTGTACAATAGGTGGTCGAGATGGTAAGATATTTGTCTTTCACTAATGGGACTAAGGACCATTGCAGGTTATGTTCCCCCTTTGATTTGTACTTGTTCACATGTAGGTTTGACGTGACTGAACTACAATCCTCCCAGAGAAACGGAAGAAAGCAAACAAAGTGTGTTTCTGTGTTATCCCGGTGGTCAGTGAAGCCGAGTGCCTTACAGTGGGGGGGGGGTTGGGGGGGGGGGTAGTAACACATGTAAATAGAAGAGCATTGAGTACTGAGATATTATAAGTCAGGGTCATTCCCCATGCACTGGGGAATGAGGGGTGGGTGAGCCGACAGGCCACCCATGTAGAGCAGTCAGGCCTCGCCACTGACTCCTGCATGTTCATGCTGCTCTGCATCAATTTGTCTCCAGTGTTCTGTTTCATAAATAAACTTTCTCTGCAAGCTTATGGCAGTTAAAGGGACATTGTCTGTGTCTCTCCTACTCCACTGAGGCTCTCAGGGTCCATGTCACTTAGGGAATGTCTCCAAATAATATCACAACTTCCTTATATGTTTCCAGTTCAATTAAATCATTGATAAATCCTGGGTATTTAGAATTATATTTAAAATAAAATAATTGGTACCTTGTAGTGACTGTAAAGCAGTAATGTTACTGAGGATTTAGATAATGTGTATTAGAGAGAACAGATTTCTGAGAGTAATTATAATAATCCTTAATAATCCTTGCATTTGATATAGCGCCTTATCACGTCTTCGAGACATCTCAAAGCGCTTCACATCATGTACTGTAAATTGTAGTGACTAGAATTTGTGGGCAAAATGCGGCAACCAATTGCACACAGTATCCCACAAACAGTCGTGGATTGAGTGATCAAATTACTATTATTTTTTAAGGGATTATTACCCCCAGAAAAGCGATCCGCCGATCGACTAACAACCGGGTTCCTACGTGCTGCTGATAAACAGAAGTGTGTGGAGTAAGGAAACTTGCCCAAGGTTTCGCCCCGCCCGGGAATCGAACCCAGGTCCTCTCACTTGCGAGACGAGGGCTCTAACCGCTAAGATGCAGAACTCCACAAATTCTCCAATTATAACGTAGGTACTGTAGTAACCTTACTGAGGGATTCAGAAATGTTACAGTTGCAGTAAGTTTGCATTTTGTATAGCATTTTTCATGTTGGAGATGTGCTTTTTGTAGGAAAATATGGCACTAGAGATTTCACAATGTTGTGTCTCTTTGGATATTTTATTTGTGTTTATTCCCTGTTTTCCGCAGTGGGGTTTAAGAAAGCTTACTTGGGTCTATATATCTGTGCTCTGTTTTATTCACACATTGTTCAGTTCTTAGCGAGTTACACGTATTTTAATAGCAGTTCACACTCAGCTGTCGGCAGAGCAGTCGGATAACCTGAACCAAGCAATTGGCCAGAGAGGGCCAATTGCTCAATCCACGGCTATTTGTGGGACACTATTGTGTGCAAACTGTCTGCCGTGTTTCACCCATAAAATCCACAATCCCTGCACTATACCGTGTGTCCTGTGAAGCACTTAGAAACTCTCAACGACGTGATAAAGAACTATATCAAATGCAAGGATTATTATTGTTATTATCAAGATAAATTAGGAAATATCTTAGTGCATCAATGACAGCCCAAATTGTCTGTGGACTCTGGTCCAAAAGGCCTTTCCTCATTTGATTAATGTCTTGAATTGGACAATTTCTGAACACTGGCTGGATTATAAATTTGTCAGTGGATTGTTAATATCAGAATCCTTGATCTAGCATGGTAAGTGACTGCCAATAATCACAGGTATACAAGAATTATCTTTGTGAAAGCATTTTGAATTGGCATTCGGAAATCAGATTGTGCTGGAATTGAGAAGTGTTCAAGTTTTCTGATGACGGTGTAAGCGAGACACAAGGCAAGACTCCAGTTTTATAACTGCAATGTACACGAGAGTATCTGCTGGCTGTGCTGGAGCGAGCAGACTTTAGTTTAGGGGCGCTGCAGGATAACGGGCTTTCCTGGTACATCTACTATATAAATAAAGCATGTTTCAGGGACTGCACTCAGTGTAACTAATCTAAACAACAAGGACGAGAAGAACCGACCTATTTATATCAGAATCCATCTGGTGCTGCAACGCTCAGTTTAGGCTCACTGGAATGTGTCAAGTAAAAACAAAAGTTTACACATTAGGGCCTATGGGTATGTCAGAAATGTGGCCTTATTAACCATGACACTGCTGAAGTCATTTTAGGTTTAAGCCGGCAAAAGTCAAAGCCGAAAATAGGGTATAAGTTGAATCATTTTGGTTACAACGTACTATGCACCACAAAGCTGAAGGTACCTGATTTGTACCTGGAATTTGTCACCAGTGTTCTGTCCTCTGGTGCGAAATGAAAAGCTGAAACCATTCTTAAGGCGAGGGGGGAAATTGTAGAAGTTTCACCTCTCTTGTTCAGTAGCTTGTTATAATAATAAATAATAATAATCCTCGCATTTGATATTGCGCTTTCCACATCTTCTCGACGTCTCAAAGCGCTTCACAGAATATACTGTAACGTGGATTGAGTGTATAGTTGTGGGCAAAACACTGCAGCCAGTTGCACACAGCAGCGTCACACAAACAGTCGTGGATTGAAGTGACCAATTTATTATTTTTTTCTTTAGGGATTATTGTCAGGCGTGTGGAGTAAGGAAACTTGACCAAGGTTTTGCCCTGCTGGGAATCGAACCCAGGTCTCTCGCTTGTGAGGTGAGTGCTCTAACCACTGAGCTACAGACTCCACAAGTTTTGTTGTTATAAGCAATATTAGTGGAGGCAAGTCTCCAATCATCTCTTCAGCTTGAGAAAGTGTGATATATGAACGCAAAGAAAAAATAAGAAAATTACTTCCAAGAATTTTTTAAGTACTGAGGTCATCTGGATCATTGAACTCTGTCAGGGAGCAGGGGGTCTGGGAGTTTGTAATCTGTGCTTCATATAAATTCCAGTGTTGTACCACTGCTAGTCTGCCTTCAGCTTGGAGCAACAAGGATTGTTGCCAAATTAAAACTTATGCTGACTTGATCAGAGAATCCTGGAACATTTGTAGCACATAAAGTAGTCATTTGGCACATTGTCTGTTTTCATGTTAGCTTCCCCATTGAGCACTCTGACCACAGGCAATATTTGGAGTAGTGATAATAATAATAATAATAATAACACTTGCATACGATATAGCACCTTGTCACATCTTTGAGATGTCTCAAAGCGCTTCACAGGATAACTGTAAAGTGCGGTGACTGTATCTTGCGGACGAGGTGATAAACACGATCAAGGCTTATTATAGTAACTGTTTAGTTGACCAAGCAAACTGGTGCCACTCACCAAGTTAGAGGTGTTAAGGAATTCTAACAATAACAACTAAAGTGTATGGCTTGATGAATTTACGATCTTCTAAGCTATCTGAATATTTTTGTCTATTGTGATCTCAGTGCCAAGAATGAAATTTCACCAGCTGAGAGGACGGGCAAATAAATAACGCCTCCAAATAGCAGTATTAAATGACCAGCCTAAATCTTGTGAGTGAGAGAATTGCCACAAACGACTCCTCTTTGAGTTGGCCTTTCCTACCTCCTACTGTGTGTTAACTGATCTCACTGCGGTGCTACCTAATGACAGTGTGTAGCTTAGAAACCGCTCACCATTTGGAGTTTAAATCTCAGTTTGGATGGAGTGAAGATGCAGGTTGATTGCTGGCAGATGGCTTTTAATGTAGTCAAATACCAGGTATGTGAATGAAATGGAAGTTGATGAGACCTAGGGGTGTTCGTTAACTCGCCACACACAACTTATCCAAACAGTGTGAGGCAGCAATAAACAAAGCAAACAGGATGCCGAGCTGCATTGCCAAATCAGTTGAGTTGAAATCTCCAGAAGCCACCCTGAAGCTTTATGGTGTCAGACTGCACCTGGTAAACTGTGTACAATTCTGGTCACTGCGACATAGAGTATAGGGATGAGCAGGACCAGAGGAGATCTGGCAGACCCCAAGTATAAATAATCAGACACTACTCTCTCCCCCTCTCTCTCTCTTTCACATACCTCTATTGATTTATTTTCCAAATAACTATTTAATTCCCACTTGAATTTTCTGATAGTTTACCCACATTGCTTCTCTGGGTCGTCTTTTCTTTATACGTGACCAAAAAAGTCATGATAACTACCCTATTATCTTTTAATAAAAAATATATATTTATCATCATTTCTTTAATACTTATTAGAGATGTAGAGTTTGTGATTGTTCAATATTATTGGGTTCAACTAATCTATTCCCTTTAGGATCTTGGATTATTATTATTATTACTATTAGATACTTAAAGAACATCATCTTTGAACCTTATTTTTCCCACCTGACATAAGGAAGCTTTACAGGCAACAACCCTACTGGTTAGAGGGTCAATCTATGAGAAGCAACAAGGTAAGCAAAAAAAATTCAGTCTCAAAAATAGATTTCTCCGAGCCTTTAGACATACATAAGATGGTTTTGTTGAAGGAAAAGGGTGAATTTGCAAAGCCTCGTCAGAATTGGTAGGAGAAAAGAATACTATTTATGATCAGTCACATAAGTCAGCATAATTTGGGGTTCTCCCCAAATAGGTAATTATTTGGGGAGGACAAGTTTACAGAGCTATGGGGAGAGAGCGGGGGAGTGGGATTGATTTGGACAGCTCTTTTAAAAGAGCCGGCACAGACACAATGAGCTGAATGACCTCCTTCTGTGCTGTACAATTGTATGATTCTATGATCTATGTTCACTTAGTAATTCATCCGATCTTACTGTGCCCAGGCAGCAGACAATATGCTTTCATGTTATATGGTAGCTTTCAGGTTATTTTCACTACTTTATGGATCATAGCGCCAAATTTTAGATAGGAGCAGTTCAATGGTATTGCCCATTTCCATCCCTTCTCCTACCTTTGCAAACGTCTCCAGCTTCATTCTCTCATGTGTTCCCTTCCCTCCACAATTTCATGCCTGCCCCATGTCCCCTGCCCACTCTGTCCTATTTTTGCTGACCAACCTTTCAGCTACTAATTATGCCCTCGCTCTTTGGAAAACTCAAACATTCCTCAACATCCCACGTTTCCTCTCTGATCCCCAAATCCTTTTAAAAACCTACCTCTTCTATCTTACCTTCAATCCACAATCTCTTCCCCCTCACCCCCATTTCACACCTTGCTCAGGTTCCCACTCTGTCTCTGTAAAGCACCGTTGTTTAGAAAAAGTGCCAGGATACCAGTTAAAGTCTCTACGTTCTTCAGGAGCCTTCAAACCCATCAATTTTACATCCATCTTAGAAACGGCACTAATGGGGTACTTCATGATAACCGGGAAACATAGCAATTTGTCCTATGGAAGTTGTCATCATTCCTTCAGATAATAATAATAATCCTTGCATTTGATATAGTGCTTTTCACGTCTTCTCGACGTCTCAAAGCGCTTCACAGAATATGCTGTAAAGTGAATTAACTGTATATTTGTGGGTGAACGCGGCAGCCAATTGCACACAGCAATGTCCCACAAACAGTCGTGGATTGAAAATGACCAATTTATTATTGTTTTGTTTGGAGGGATTATTATTAGGCTCTGTGTGGGGTAAGGAAATTTGCCCAAGGTTTCGCTCTCTGCCGGGAATTGAACCCAGGTGTCTCACTTGCAAGGCGAGTGCTCCAACCACTGAGCTACAGGACTCCACAGGATGAAGTGTGGATGACAGGGAGGTTCAGAAAAATGTATTTGACTTGAGGTAAAATGTACCAGGATAAAAAAGAAAAATGTCCCAGCTAATATCAGGTCAGGTATATTGACATCGTAATAACCTTGGACTGATTAAAACCATTATACACTAGGTTTTGGAGGTGCACCTGGTTGTATCGTTGTGATGGCTCCTTTGAAATCTCGTCATTCTTACCTCAGCCTGTCTCTATAATGTCCTCCAGTCCTATCCTCCTTCCTGAACCCACTTTTCCTCCAACTCTCAACTGGTTTGTTCCTTGCTCCTTCTGCTCGAGCTGTGACAGTTATGCCTGGATCTCGCCAACGTGCTTCCCAGATCCCTTTGTCTCGTCTTCAACCCTTAACAACCTAAATCTTTAACTTGACTTTTAGTCAACATTCTCAACTCCATCTCTTCTCTTCTGCCCACCCTGCTTGGGGATCCACATCATCTTTGTGAAGCGTTGTCAAGATATTTCCCTGTGAAAGGCACTGGGCCAGTGCAAACTGCTGCTGCTCTGCATCCTTCAAGATTTTCTAACAACCCCAATATTGTTTCTCTTTTGGTGGTGACGGCACTTCCATCTCCTGCAGTCCACCACATGCTGTCTTGAGGGCCTGGTGATTAAAATCTGGCCTTTTTGCTACATAACAGAATGGTTTCCTGCCATCCAGCCGAGCTTTGCAGGTGGTTGACATGTTGTTGGTTGTCTGGTGATAGGTTCCCAGGTTTGCTTTCTGGTTTAGTAACTTGGGATCTCACCCCTCAGCTTCATATTGTTCTCTTCCTGATCCTGGTCTCATTCACATGCAAATAGTTTTTGGTAATGGATTGAAAGAATACTTTCTGATGGATAGATATAGAAGCGAAATACCTCTGACTTTTCTGATCAACCCAGCGTATTGGCAATGTTTATTTTTATAAGTGTCAAGGAGGTCATTTCCTCCTTGTTAAGGTGCTAAACTATGATAATCGTGGGCTACTGTGATTGGTTCCATACGTTGCAGGGTTGTTGAGAGGAAGCTCTAGCATTCCTACATGTTTATAAATTCTTTGCATTGTACAACCAATAGGTCTGTTATATGCCCAAATTTCTGACATCCCCAAACTCCCTCTCCCCACCCCCCTTTCCCAACAATTCTGAACGTAAGAACATCATTGAAGAATACTGTTTCAGACTGAATACCTGCTGGAAAACTTTGACTTGAACACATTCCAAACTCGATCCTCCACACTCTCTGCCCTGACTGTCCCTCTGCACTCCCTATCCTGACAATACTTCCACACTCTGCCCTGACATTCTCTCCACACTCTCTCACATAATAACTTATGTGATAACAATAATAATCCTGGCATTCGATACAGCGCCTTATCACGTCGTCGAAACGTCTCCAAGTGTTTCACAGGATATACTGTAAAGTGTAGTGACTGGATATTTTGTGGGCGAAAAAACTTCTGCACAATTTCTGGATCTGGCGAGGCAGAACCTATGTTCTGGATTGAGTAATTCTACTGTGATAATCCCTCTCTGCTTTTACACCCCACCCCTGCCTTGCTGACTCCTCAGCCATGTAATCACTCCTACATCTCTATCATTCTGCACAGAAACCATCTGAGCCAAGCCCAGCGGATGACATCTTGCAGGTTATTCCTACCTACCCTTTATGTCACAAATAATTCGTTGATATTAAGATATAAATTACTAATGGCATACAACTGCAGTATTTTCTTTACTTGGTCCCAAACCTCCCCCAGAGGTCGCTGCAGCAGTTTGTGCAGCACAGATCCCCACCTCAGGGCGAATGAACTTATCTGGAACTCTCACATTTTATTGCAAAGGTTCGTTTGATCCTATTTAGAATGAGACAACCGATCCAGTTTGTGTGTCTACATCTTTGCAGTGGCATTCCACGTTTGGAATTATACTGGGATTCATTGCTTGGATTCCTTTTCGCCCTGATGATACAGGAAAATATATATTATATATATATATCTTAAGGGTTAGACTGAAATCTCAAATCCTGCTGAAATGTACATGCATGAAAAGTAGTGATCTCATCGGAAAGTATAAAAATATCGTTAAACTAACAAGACTCGTGGAAGTGTGTGTGGGGGGGGGGGGGGGGGGGGGAGAAAAATTAACGTTGACCAGATATTTCTTTTTATCATTGTATCCTAGAGATCCAGTGGGGGGAAAGATTCCCACGCAGGGGGCTGTATTGTTGTGTTTTTTGTAGTTAGTTTTGCAGAAGATGTTTGGACAATATTGTCCCTTCAGCTGTTATATTTTAACACGATTGTGGATTGTGCCGAAGGAAGTTAAGAATAAACCCACGTCCAGACCCCAAACTCCGTCAAGCCTCTAATGGAGACAAAGGCTGGGTTTGGGCTAACCACCTGCTATCTACAATCCGACAATACGTCCTTAAAAGACAAACAAAAGACCTTAAAAATCTTAAAGAAGACCATTCATTAGGTGGACAAAGGGGGAAAGAAATAAATTATCATAATTAATCCTATCAGTGCTGGTGGGTGGCGGCGCTGTGTGTCCTTTAAGGTAATGTTGGACACTGGTAATGTTAACATATACACATGGCTTTGTGGAGTCGGGCAAGTCAGCCTTTCCACAGGATTTTAGCCGCTTGGTAAACAACCTTCAGGGGAAGGGAAACATGGGGCAGCTGTTAGCTCGAACGACAAAACCATCCTCTGGAGCCGAGCACAACACACACACATTTATAAAATGATGCTCACGCCAACCTTCAAAGTCCCCAAATATCATCTGCAAATCAGAAGCTGTCAATACTGACTGATACAAAGAAGTCACTTGGGTCCATATCCACTCATCCCCTGACCCAGATCTTTAAACCTATTTAATTTGACAAACTCTCTCCTCTACTCCCAACTCGCAGGACATCAAACCTTTAATGGAAAAAAAACAGTATTTCCCTCCCTCCCTCCCCAGCAAACCTCCAATTTCTCCCCAATACGCTTTTTAAATGATTTAATTAAAAGCATTGGAAATCAGAACAGCCTCCCCCCCCCCACCCTAACCCCCCCCCCCCACACACACCCTCTATCGTGTGTATATAATCCTTTCATTCTTTAATAAGACATTCGGATCATGAGCCATGTCAATGGTTTGAATGCAGTTTCGTCCATTCATTTCGAGTCCACTTTTATGAAGAGCATTAGCAATGGCAGATTTCTGAACATTATTTGACCAGATGAGAGATCCAGTTGCCCTTGGTTTATTTATGCAGCCTCCAGAATTCAGCCAGGACCTCCCCTGAGTTTGTTGAGCTAAAGGGGGCCCCGAGTTAGCAGCTCACAGGGCAATTCAGAGTTTTATATATACATCTATATGCACAAACACACACACACTTGTGTGTGTGAGAGAGAGAGAGAGAGAGAAAGCTGCTGTTCCTTTCTTTAAAACACACACACACATACTTTGGGCGAACTTTACTGTGAGCTCACGTTTGTATATGTATATATATGTGTGTGTGTGTGTAGGTATATATTTTAAAATAAACTCTCTCTCTACATATATATATTTGCATGTACTGTGTGTGCGTAAAAACATAGACAGTTAAGAGAGAGGACAGGTTTTTACATCTCTAACAGCGTATTTAAAAGAAAACCACATAAAACGCCAGTGTTTTGGAAAGATCCAGAGGAGATAGAGAGAGGGAGGGGGGAGGGAGGGAGAGCTTGTGTGCAGGAGGGTCTGCCCACCCCACCCCCCCATTGATGCTCTGGCAGTCTGGGTGGTCCTGGCCACTTTGGTGAGCTGTTGCTTAGCAGCTAATAATAGTAGATGTTTGCTAAGTAATTTGCTTCTTCCCTTTAGCCAATGGGAATCCGGTCGAGAGGACTTTCCATCAACTCTATCTGATGGGCTGGAGGCGGGTTCCTCTCTCTCTCTCTCACTCCCCAATGTTTGAGTGTCTCACATCGGGGACAGAAGTAACAAAAAAAGGATCTCTGAGTTGGTGAAGGGGACTCTCCCCTCTCTCTCGGTCTCTCTCGGTCTCTCTCTCTCTCCTCTCCCGGTGCTGGTGGTCAAAGGGGATCTGAAGCAGCAGAGAGAGAGGAACCAACTCACTCCACGTGGATGTAGAGTGGAGATCCTTAAGGATTTCTGCGCGAAATGTTGGGATGGAATTATCAGCCTTTCGCTCAAGAAGAGACTAGAGGTCCTCCCGCTGATTCTCTGGTGGCTTTCGGGGGGTTATTGTTGTTGTTGTTGTTATTGCTGTTACTGTTGAATCGAGCGACATGCCGACAGCTGCCAGCCTTGCCAGCCCTGCCAGCCCTGCCAGCCCTGCCAGCCCTGCCAGCCCTGCCAGCCAGGGGGGACCCCAGCCCTCCAGACACACTGCCCACTGCCCGGACACTGCCCACTGCCCGGACACTGCCCACTGCCCGGACACTGCCGCCCCGGACCCGCTGAGGACACCCGACTACTGCCGCACTGCCCTCTCCCTCACACAGAGCCCTGAGGTGCCGGACACCGAGCATTGCGCTGTCTGTGGGGGGGATGTGTGTGGGGTGTGTGTTGTGCTGTGTGTGTCTGTGGTGTGTGTGTGTCTGTGTGTGTCTGTGTTGTGTGTGTGTCTGTGTTGTGTGTGTGTCTGTGTGTGGTGTGTTGTATGATGTACGTGTGGTGTGTCGTATGATGTACGTGTGGTGTGTTGTATGTTGTACGTGTGTGGTGTGTTGTATGTTGTATGTGTGTGGTGTGTTGTATGTGTGTGTGTGTGTATGTGTGTGTGGTGTGTTGTCTGTGTGTTGTGTGTTGTATGTGTGTGGTGTGTTGTACGTTGTATGTGTGTGTGTGTGTATGTGTGTGGTGTGTGGTATGTGTGTGGTGTGTGGTATGTTGTATGTGTGTGGTGTGTTGTATGTGTGTGGTGTGTTGTATGTGTGTGGTGTGTTGTATGTGTGTGGTGTGTTGTATGTGTGTGGTGTGTTGTATGTGTGTGGTGTGTGGTATGTGTGTGGTGTGTGGTATGTGTGTGGTGTGTGGTATGTGTGTGGTGTGTTGTATGTGTGTGGTGTGTTGTATGTGTGTGGTGTGTTGTATGTTGTATGTGTGTGGTGTGTTGTATGTGTGTGGTGTGTGGTGTGTTGTATGTGTGTGGTGTGTGGTATGTTGTATGTGTGTGGTGTGTTGTATGTGTGTGGTGTGTTGTATGTTGTATGTGTGTGGTGTGTTGTATGTGTGTGGTGTGTGTGGTTAATAGTGTTTGTAGAGGTAAATGTAAAACAGTTGAAGCGGATCCCCGGAGTGTCAGAGAATATTGTGACTGTTTTGTGTGTTCACTTTAATACATATCCAACACAGAGGAGATGTCAATTCAGCGCTTCTCCTTCTCCCCAAACACTGATACCGACAGGAGGGGGAGAGGGGGGGGGGAGGGGGGAGGAGACGGTCGTCAGTCTGGAGATTACTCCGTAACCGGTCAGGACCCGCCCTTAGTCGATCATGGGCGCTGTTGA